ATATCAGAAAATAATGCTAATGAGGTTAGTTCCGATTATCGTACAAATTCAGGTAGAATTGTAAGAAAACCTTTCCATCTAAATGACTTTATCTAATTTTATGTTTATCTTATGAGATATGTATTTTTGAGATAATTATAATAATTAACTATTGTTGAAGGGGAGATGTTGTAATGAATACTCAGTATATTCTGTAGCGATGGGATCGGGGAGAACAACAACATGCTTTTGTCATAATACATTTTGATGTAATGTCATGATTTTTAAATAAAGTTACATAACTGAATCTTATCCTAATTTATATTCAAATAACATAACAGTATCTATTATGAAGAGTGTTAAGATGTCACTCTCCGAATGGAACTCCGTGTATAATCATTTATTTTTCGATCGTCTTAATTTCCAACGACGCGTCTGAACTGGCATCCCAAAAAACTTTATTTTCACGAACATTTGTCTTATTTACAGTTGCATCTGTAAATTAGGCATAGAACAGTTTTATTTTTAAATATCACCTAATTTACAGTTGCAACTGTTATTGATTCTACAGTATAATAAATTGGATATATCTAACACATTCCTTTCTATATAACAACAGAGCATTCAAGAACGAAACAACTTATAGACTGTTGGCCCGCGACACAGGGTTTATCGATGTTCTAAGTCGGTATGCCATTTAAGGTACCCACTCACTCACTCCGTGTTAACAATAAGAAGTGCATCGGAGAGTCGCAACCCAGTCCTTGCCCCGGCCCTGACCTCACCTTTCGGTTGGAAAAAAGTTCAAAATTTTGTTTAAGAAGAAGCTCGGCAATGAAGTGCAATGATCTTATCTCACGAAAATTGGGGCGCTTGCCGGTTTGCATACGCCTAGGTCACTCCGCAAGGGCGGCATACGAACCGGAAGTGGCAATTTTTCAGTGTTATAGTCGATGATCGAAGAATGTATGCCCTTTGGTGAAACAATGAATTCTGACCCATTAATCAGTTTCCCGACATTTGCATACGATTCCGGAGAGGGGAGCTCGCGGCTTATTCGAACATCAATTGACTGGATATTTTTCAAATAATCGATAATCGAAGAAATGTTCAAATTTTGACCATGGTTAGTGAACCACACAGTATATATGAGATGATGGTTTGCATACAATTTGCACATTGTGTACAGGGAGTTTCACCATAAGTATCTCCCATTGTAACTTAGTTGTTTCTGAACCGATTTTAAAATTTCAAAAACCAATTAAAATGATTTTCCTAAGACATTTTTCATTGTTATCAAAAAATTCACAGGATGTTCATAAGAAATGAACTATTGGGTAGTTGTTAATTTTTTTTTACTTGAACACTATATTTTATCTCACTATCGAGTTGAGATTATCATGACGAATACAGCTCTACAGCATCTAGCGATATTATTTACACGCAGCACTCTTATAGCGATCATGTGCCAATGATTTTCTGCGGTAGCCGGGTAGAGTCCCAGACAGCACTGGATATTCATAGAATATTCTCTAAATATGCTAAAAAGGAGGAGTATATTCCGAATATTCATCGATTATTCCTAGAATATATACATGCCACTGGAACATCTAAAAGGAATATTCCAAAGTGAATAGTCGGACATGTTCAGGGAATATTCAGGTATGAATCTTCCAGGAATATTCCCAACTGAATATTCTCTGTTGTATATTCATGAAATATACCCAACTGAATATTCTGTGCGGTATATTCATGAAATATACCCAACTGAATATTCTGTGCGGTATATTCATGAAATATTCTCAACTGAATATTCGGTGGTGAATATCCATGCAATATTCCATGAATATTCCTTTGTTTCCCAACACATAAATACCATTTATTATTTCAGATATATGACTATCGAACATCAATTAGATGTAAGGGGATTTTGAAACAAAAAGTGTTTATGATCCGATTTCGAACAATGCTCTCACAAGAACTTGATATGTATAACATTATTTAATTCGATTACTGGCCTAGTGGTCAAGGCGTTGCTCTGATAGTCTTGAGGTCACGAGTTCGATCCCTACTTGGGTAATTTTTTTTTATTTTAGAATATGTTCATTGGAATATTCCAGGAACATTCAACATAGAATATTCTTTTGGGTATATTCTATGATTATCTGAGGAATTCCCATTCGCATATTTAGAGAATATTCCACAGATATTCCGGAATATTCCAGATTATTTCTAGAATATTCCAATATTCCAAAAGGAATATGATAGGGAGATTCATGGAATATCTGGTGCTGTCTGGGGTGTAGCACGTAATAATTTAGTAGGCATTCAATAATGTTTTTTCCTTCTGTAGGAGATCCGAAATTTAAATATCTCAAAAACCATTCACTATTTTATAATGTATATTACAGAGTTATTTACTTCTTACTGCCTCCCCTACCAGTGCTATGAATCGGATTACCAGTAACCCTGTATATAAGTGCACCGTGTGAATCTTATCGCTAAACGCCAGTCAACTATTCTGGGTTTGATGAAATTATTTCATTGTCAGTTACATAAAAAATAATGAAGGGGGCTGGGCCCGTGATACTTTTTTTGGGTACGATTTCAATTGGTAACTTGGTGAAGCTCTTCAAGCAGAGGTTGGTGATATCATAATCTCTGAGACTTCAACTGAGAAAGTATCAGGTATATATCTTTCGATCATGCCAAGATTTTTCAATAATTAAATGATATTCTTACTAACAGGTACTGATGACAACTCTGGAGTATCATCTTCAGACAGCGAGAGCGAAGATGACTCTGAAGATAATGATAGAGAGGGCGACGTATAATTTTTCCTTTGAAATATAATATTGTTTTCATTTAATATAATTTTATTTTCAAATAATTTTTTTTTCGTGAAAAACAAAAATGTAGATCGAAGTTCAGGATACAGACCCCATACTATACCCAAAACATTCAACAAATCGAATGTACATTCTTTATATATTTTTCAGTCGCTAGTATTATGATAAGGAGTCCCATAAGCCCCAGGAAGAATTTCAATTCGATTTATTGTGAGTTTCGATCATGAGCAATAATCCACCCCTCTTCTCCCTGTACGATCCCTCTTGATCATCCTGCAAGTATCTTGTTGTCAATTTTTTTTATCATGCATCTTTTCAAAGCTCTGTTTTCCAAATTGAAATCACACAAAAAATTTTCTTGGTACTAAACCTCTCACACATGTAATTTTGTTGAGCTGTAAATTTCTGATGAATAAATACAAATATATCTGCAATTTGCGTCTTCGAATATCCCCATCACTAGCAGGAAGTTAATCTTTGACCCAGTCTCATGTGAAGTGAGACATCCCGATTATCTAGTTCGCTTTCGGTGCACCTCTGGCCTGCAGTGCGGGGCGCCGCGCCGGACCGAGGCACGCACGGGTTTGCCCGATTATTACAACGTATGCTCACATTGAATTCGTATGCAAATAGCATCCAGTTATAAAGAATATCCTAGTTTATCGGTCTAGAGATTTGCATACGAACTTAAATCATCGATTATTTGAAAGATGTCTAATCAATTGATGTTCGAATAAGTCGAGCTCCCCTCTCCGGAATCGTATGCAAATGTCGGGAAAATGATTAATGGGTCAGAATTCATTGTTTCGCCAAAGGGCATACATTCTTCGATCATCGACTATAACACTGAAAAATTGCCACTTCCGGTTCGTATGCCGCCCTTGAGGAGTGACCTAGGCGTATGCAAACCAGCAAGCGCCCCAATTTTCGTGAGATAAGATCATTACACTTCATTGCCGAGCTTCTTCTTAAACAAAATTTTGAACTTTTTTCCAACCGAAAGGTGAGGTCAGGGCCGGGGCAAGGACTGGGTTGCGACTCTCCGAGGCACTCCTTCCAGTTAACTTGGACTAAGTGAGTGGGTCCCTCAAATGGCATACCGACTTAGAACATCGATAAACCCTGTGTCACGGGCCAACAGTCTATTAGGACATATATTTATATAAGTCGTATTTGCCTCATCATATCCGAATTGTGTGATCCGTCTGAGACCTGTGGAGGGGGTGATGGCCTATACATTTCTTCTAACCATAGAATCAGCAACAAACTCATCATCCATCAGCTCTTAGGAACTAAAGTTCAACTTTAGCTCCTAGGAACTAAATATGTTGCCTAGCAACATACCTGTTTTTGTGTCAGTAATAGAAACGTCAATTCAAGAGCTAATTTTTGTATTAACCTTGGACGGTCGGTTGCAGAAAAAACAATATACCATAACACAAATATGGAAGAAGCCAACACGAAAATTCTAATAGGAACAATCGAATTTAACGCTTCTGAATATCAACATTTATACACATGTACGCAACTTAACCTGCAAAATTGATCATCACAAATCATGAAAAATTGAACTGCCAGCCGAAGATGGCGTGAAATCGATTTGTTTATTGGTACCCCCTCTTAAGTTTGTTTGTAACCAAAAGGTTTCGTTGCCTGTAAATCGAAGAACTACGGGCAACTAAGAATAAACTCTTTTGAATATAATGAGACCATATGATCACATGGTCCATAAAATAGCCCATTGTTTTATCACAAGCGGACAGATAAAGGGTTGAATATCTCCTCTAATTTACAGTTGCAACCGTAAACTGAGAGGTGTTTTGAAAGAAAAAGGTTTCTCTGCCTAATTTACAGTTGCAACTGTGAATTATTTGGATATGGGTGAAAAAAAATCTCTTGTTCTAGTTTACAGTCGCAACTGTAAATTAGGATATATAAAAAAATACGTTTCTCCTGTCCACTTTACAGTTGCAACTGTAAATTAGTTTGAATTGACAGTTGAAAACTGTAAATTAGGCAAATGTTCCTAAAAAAAAAGGTTATTTAGGATGGCAATTCAGACGTCTCGTTCATTTCTTCACAACACACTTTAAATAACTTCATGAAAATCATTTATCCAGTTTCGTTTCATGATAAATTAATTTATTAAGTTCAATTATTGTCATGTGATAGGTTTTAGTGCATAATTCAAGAGACTATCCGGATGTTTTGGTATATGGAACCCATTTGGAATTGAACAGCCAAATGTCTTTAGCTGTTCGAGATTCGATATTATCGAGCAGAGAAGAAATAAGGGGAATTGATGTGGAAACTCGTGGATGTCTTTTTACTGGCGAGGTAACCATTGTTTATGTACTCATTTGAATCATCATCAGTATAACTAAGTGAACGAGACAATTAATAATAATCTGAATATATTTTTTCGTCGCCCTCTAAAAAAAATCACATTCTACATTCTAATTTCCGAAGGAAAAATCGACTCTTTCCGAAGGCCTTTCGTCCGCTGCAGGGTTGCCAGCTCTACTGAATTTTCATCAGTAGATCTCCTGGTTTCCATATTGATATATTGATCTATTGAAACATTTGATAACCTACTGAACAATATTTTGACACTTTTGATATTATAATTACCTTTATTCCTTTCAATCTAATCAGTTATTTCTATTAATTATTATTAATCTCCAGTTAATCACATATACTTATAATTTTCATGATATTTCGGCGAGCTCTGTTTAAATTAATTTTACGAAATAAGTAATAAATTCACATATAGGTAATAATGTTATGTGTGAACCAAGAAAGGATGATACTTTATCTGATTCAGATCAAATTAAATTCTTTATGTAGCAATTCTGACGTCACCTCTGTTCAAATTTCCGTGCCAAAGGCACACTCGCGAGGAGTTCAATCATTGAAATTGTTTTAAAGTGGCTTACTCTTGATATTTTTCTCGTTTTTTGTTCATTTTCATAATGAAATTTCCCGTTAACTAGAAGAATACGAAAAAATCTGATATCATGGAAATATTCGTCAGACTCTATCATATCGATGCATGTGCTGAATATATGTACTTATTTCAAAAACATCTCGTGTATACCGGGTGGTTACGGAAGTATTGCCTACGGAATATCTCAGTTATTGTATGAAGTAGGTTTGTGAAATTCGGAGCGTCGATATAATGACATAAGAGCTAGAATTTGAGCATATTTTTTTTCTTTTCGCTTCATTCAGCATTCAATTCCCTTTCTAATAACATATCACAAGTTCGTATCTAATCAGAAACTAGATCAGAAAAAAATTATTATTAAAATTCACCGAGTAGGCCGTGGAAGCAAAATGAAAGCCAAAAATTGAAAAGTTGGCTATGGAAACCATACGTCATTTGATAGCAGTTGCTACTACTGTGATATTTTATCTTCATTCGTCGGCGTTATAAAAAGCCGCCAAAAAAAAAATTGGAAAAATTGGGAAAAACAATACTCTGTAGGTCCATAACTTAAATAGGAACATACAACTTTTTCTTGCCTGTACTATTCAGCATAACCATTCCTTCCTAATGATATAATAGAAAGTCATTTTTTGAAATGAAATATCAAAAAATCCACGGCCTACTCGGTGAATTTCAATAATATTTTTTTTCTGATCTAGTTTCTGGTTAGATACCAACTCGTGATATGTCATTAGAAAGGGAATTGGATGCTGAATAAAGCGAAAAGAAAAAAAATAGGGTTTCCTTTTAAAATAAGAAAGTTGATGTTACTTCCGGTCAGACCGGAAGTTAACTTCGATATGTCAATATGCTCAAATTCTAGCTCTCATGTCATTATATCGACGCTTCAAATTTCACAAACCTACTTCTTACAATAACTGAGATATTCCGTAGGCAATACTTCCGTAGCCACCCTGTATATAATCGAAAATGTAATAAAAATGATGAGTTTTTTTTGTAGAAATCAATTCCGTGGTCTGAGAAATATACGTTTGAAAATTGCCTGAAGCATTGTAGGCTACAAACCATTTGGAGACATTGCAGATGTATACCATACTATTACTCAGCTCGAAGTAAGATTTCCTGCAGTGTATTGGTACCTTCCCACATCTTTATCCTATGAAATTATAAAACTATTCCTGAAATTTTTAAAATTTGTTTCTAATATTCTAGCTTCTAAATATTGTTCGATACTCGACGTTATATGTGTGATGAGAGCCGAAAGTAAGTAGTAGGTAGTTTTTTTTCTTGGTATAAATACCTTTCTTAACCTTTTTTTTAGGAGCATTTGTTAACATGCGAATTGGAAATCAATTTGAAGGTAAAGTATTTTCAAGTCAAATCTGCATCATAGCTAAATATTGTATAAACTCGTAAGATTTTATCAATATGCGAATGAAATTGATAACAATATTCCTGTCATTGCATTTCAAATTCAGTACCGGATTCAGAGTTCTAGAGACGCTGGGGCAACAAAAGAGTATAGGCCCCTCTAGCCCCTAATTATTTTTCAAATAAAATGAAAAAAAAAAACAATCAATAATTTATCGCGAAATCAACTAATCCATTTTAACAACATATACAGGCTGTCCGGAAAGGTCATGTCGTAAATGATAGGGATGATAGTTTGAGCCAAAATAATATTAGTACTTCATATAAAAAGATTGTATATCGCACTTCGTTATAGGGTTATTGACCTTGAAACTTCCTGCAAGTCCATATACATATTATGCATACTCATTATTACTAAACTCATCCATGGTGTTACTAAGGTATTGAAAACTGTCAAAATATCTTGATATCAGTTATGACAATGACTGCAACTACCACATGTCTCTATTTAGAAACTTCTTATAACCGTCAAATGAAATATTTTAACCACGAAATGTCATCTGATGAACGTGAAAAGTTCACGTTTTCAACGTGAAACAGGTCACCCTTTCAAATCACTCTTTTTGTTTCAAAAAGGTTATCATTTAGATTCGAAATGAGACAAGATTATAGTTAAAAGATGGAAATTTGAAGATAATCATTTAAATCCTAAAAGATGTAATTTCACAGTTATACAATTATCATTTAATTTCATCCCTTTTATCATTTTCCATCTTTGTCATACTCGTTTACCCCAATGAGTCATCTCACTCACCTATGAACACTTATTGTTGGATGAGAATACTTAGTCGTCTCCGGATTTTATTTTTTATTTTTTTATTTTTATTTTATAGGTTACAGGCTACTCAACAGGTCGAATGACCCAATTACAGAGACGCACAAAATATACTAATCATCAGTTAACAATCGAAGGTTATGAAAAGTTAAAGTTTATATAAGTGAGATTGATTACTACAGTGGAATATAAAGAACAGAAAAATAGGAAAAGGTGAATTTCAGTTAGCTATTTGAAGAGGAGTCGTTACAATTGAGGTTACAATACCTGATTATGTGAAAAGAAGTCAAGAGTGAATAATTTGCCTCAGTTTGGTTTTAAACCTGAATATTTTCGTGGTGAAAATATCTGCAAGAGAATTGTTTCCTATCGCATTATAAGAATTTATGCACCTATGTAAGGAAGAATTCAGTAGAGAGTTAGTAGAGCTAGGTCCAGTTGTGAAGAGATGTCTGTTTCTCACGGCATATGGAGTACAGTTCAAAGTGAGAGAATTGGTGCAAAATTCAGAATCAATTAGATTGTTGACCACTTTGTAATTGAAAAGAATGTCGAAAAATTTTCTCCTCAGTTGAAGGTTTTCAATTTTGTAGTGATTAACATTAGCATTGTATGAGGAGAAAATTTTTCCATGGTTAAAACGAAAATTCAGGTGTCGGACAAATTTCCTCTGAACATTTTCAATTCTATTGGAGTGATTATTATAAAAGGGATTCCAGATGACAGATGCATACTCCAGGGAGGATCTCACAAAAGATTTAACAGCATCTGGGTCTCGGAAGGATTTTGTCGCCCTCATAATAAACCCAAGATTTCTTAGACTTTTCTGCACTATCAATTCGACGTGTGTGTCAAAGGTTGATTTAGTATCAAGGTGAACACCTAAGTCTTTGATGACATCACAATCCCCCAGAACCTTACCGCACAGTACGAGATTGGAAGTGGGAGGATGATTATTACGGGTAAACAGGATCTTGTGACATTTACCAACGTTCAATTGAAGTTTGTTAACTGCACAATACTCTGTGAACCTATCAAGGTCCAATTGAAAGCATTGGTAGTCCTCCTGAGTGGTTATCGATTGATACAATTTCAGATCGTCAGCAAAAAGTTTGAATTTGGTCCATTTGAAACACTGATCAACATCGTTTATTTGAATGTGAATTAATTGTTTTTCAATACTCAAGAAAGAATAATATAATCATGTTCGTATACCAAGTACTGATGGTAAAACGACGAAAAAAACATATTCATAAAAAATATTAAAGAGAAAGTTGTTTACTAATGTTTACTCGTCGAAATTTGAGATTTTTTTTATCTATTGTGGGTCCCCATTCTTGTGGAGGCCTAGGAGCTAAAGCTCCAGATGCCTTCCCCTAAATCTGGCACTGTTCAAATTGGCCTATATTCGATGTCTTCAATTCATTCCAACTTCCAACAACTAAATTAGAATGATGAATTAAAGTTTGAACTTCGAAGGGACTGGCTGACGTATGTTTTTTGCCGAAGCTGCTCCAATCGACTTTGGAAATACTATACATCCATGAGATAATTGAATTTGAAACTAGAATAACTGTTTTCAGGTGCTTCCAAGAATAAATTCATCTGTAATTGCCTATCATCTTGTGATGAAATATCCTACTCCACTATCATACAAGGGGAGCAACCAATTACAACGTATGTGACATCATTGCTCTGAAGGTTAACACAGAAAAGCCTATCCTCATCATTTTGAAACGTCATTGTAAACAGCTCGCATAAATATTTGGCTGTTTTGACTTTTAGCTATTGTTAATGATTTGCATCCCAAACAACCAGAAAGAAGATCAATAATATAGTACCTACAGGTTCTTCAACAAACGAATCACTATTGTCTATAGTCTATAGAAACAAGATATCCCTTCTTCTTTGAATATATTCTCAAGCTCAGAGAAATATGAAAAAAAAAATTATACTCATACTACTGACGAAAGTGTTTGTCGCCATCGAAGTGGATTGCACCAATTATTTCATCCCTTTAATCTTTTTTAATGCACAGTAAATGCGTATCTTGATTACTGCTGCTTACATAAAGAGAAGTGCACAAAAAACGGCCAGGATTGTAAATTTTGAATTATTCTAGATAGGGTTTTGAAAATTGGTGGGTAGCAAGTATACCAAATCACTTCCAGTTGCACCGGAAACGACCCCAACTTCTGATTTTTAAATGGGACACCCTGTATTGTTCTCCATAATCGGTTAGGGATTATCACCGACACTGGGTTTGAAAGGGCTATATACCCAAACTAATTACGTACAGGAACTACAATAATGTTTCTAACCGTGAGTTCGATACCGAGCTTTTAATGATTTCATGGGATAATGTTTTGTATCTAAATGACATTGATCAAAAGATTGATTACTTTACGAACAATGTTATAAATTTATTTGATGTTCATGCTCCATACGTTACTTATAAAATTACCAAACTATTTGCTCTATGGTTGACTCTTAATATTCGTAGTATGATGAAAGATGAAAGTCAGAGACAAGGCGCTATCTAACTATAAACGTACCAAATGTGCAACAGATTATATTTACTATACAGATTTACGATTACCTTATCCAACATTTCTATCAGGAAGAAATTATAGTAAAAAATTTTGGAAAACACTTGATTCAATGAACATTAAATAAGTTACAGTACTGACCGTTTTTTGTGCACTTCTCTGTATAGTGTCATTTCGCTAGATTATTTGGAATTTGCTCTCCTTGTTCCTATAAAACAAAAATATGAGTATCATTTCAATTTACGTGTAGTAGGATGAATCAGTTGATTTGCCCCAAAATATCACTGCGTTCACAAATGTTTCTATCAGAGAGCCTAAAAGGAAAATTCAATCGGTTGTCAGTGACACTCTGATTTGGAAAATGTTTGAAGTAAATAAATATAGATATTTTGAAAAAGTATCGAATTTTTACTTATCTTTGAACGTGTGTTTGCTTTATATACTAAATGAAATAAATAAACATTGTAATATCTATCCTAGCAACTCATTGGCAGTGTAGAAATGATATAAGGCATTCGTCAATAAGTACTGGGGTACACTTGTTCTATGAACAATGCGAACAACTTCCCTGCAACTAACACTGGTTGTCTGGGATGATGATTTTGTAAAGCATGTCTTCATCAGACTAGAGTCACTGGATGGTATTAGTTTATTATCAAACTAATACCATCCAGTGACTCTACATCAGACTATGTTGAGAAATCTATTGAATTACAAGACAAGTATACAGTGAAATAACTCCAACATAATATCCATTATATTTGATATTACGTCATTCTATATTACAGGAACTCCCTAGATTCCGATATGGCGAATGTCAGTGTACTTTCTGTATATTTTGAAAATTCTGGAATCATCGAGTTTACTAGGAGTGAGTTTACATCTTGGGATACACTACTAGGTGAATATTTCTCACTATCTGTGGATTATTTTACATCAAAATCTGCTAATTTCGAAACTATGAAATTGAAATGAATATATTATTTATATAGTTTTTTCAGCATCCATTGGAGGAATATTCGGCTTGTTCTTAGGTGGTTCTATAATGAGTATAATAGAGTTCTTCTACCATTTTATATCGGGGATTTTCAACCATAGATTCAAATTTTGCAACCTGAAGCAAAAAATAGTCCAAGTTCAAAAATACCGTCCCACCATTTATACCACTGAGCTATACCCGAAATGTAAGATGTGAATACAATACAAGTAATTTCAAATGTTTAATCTAAGTTGTTGTATTCACTTATATTCTTGACTTCTCTGAGGGATTGGATTTCTTCGTTAGGTTGAATATATTTCTGTTTTCAGACTTTGTTGACAATGACAAGATGAATGGCAATGCTACTTTCTACAATAGCAAGAATATAAATCATTTCCCTAAGGCATTCAATTAATATATGAGTTCTGATCAGTTTTCGAGATAAACATACATATTTAATATATATATGAGATGATGTTCTAGAACAGTAGAATAGATTGGTAGGTATTCCATATTGTGTTTTATCTATATACTTCAATGCACAAAATTTTCTATTTCTGATCAATTATTGAATATGTATTATCAAGATCTGTGTTCTATTTGTAGAAATAACTTCAATATTTCATAGGTCATACCAAGATTCAAATTGAAACATGCTGAAAGAGTGTGACGTGTGACACAGAAAATTGCCAATATTGCGCCGTCACACCCATTGGGGATAATATGGAAACATCGAATGCAAATATCTTCGTAATCTTTCGAAAGAACCCTATATCAAACAAATAACAATCGTTTTGCTTTCTTCAATAATGAAGAAAGTTATGGCGTTGAGCCCCCTCGGAAAATCACCTGATACACCTACTACTGGCAAATTTTGTATGCAGAATTGAAAGATTATTTCAACATGTTTACAAGTGCATCAGACAAGATTCAGATTCCAAATATCTATCAGGAATTTGTATCCACTTTACAAATCAAATTGGGTGTTGGAAGGAGTATCAATCAATGCTTCAATTCAATGCGAAATTTCTGAAGAACGGATCAGTTCAGTTGGTTAAAACATTTCATAGTCACAGGTCATCTGCAGTGGGACACACTGCACGTTTCTCAAATAGCATTGTATTTACGCTAAGTATCAACATGCTGTATATATTTGAAGGAAACAAAATGCAATTTACTGTGTTTATTCCCATTTCGAATATTTTGATATATAAACATGCAGTGGCCGATCTACGGGCCCTAAACTAGCTTACTTATTCTTGGGGACCCTCATTCCTTTTTCTGTTTTGTTCAATCAATAATTTCTTCTGTTTTTTCAATCAATGATAATCATTTGATATTTTCTTCCCAAATACAAACAAAAACGAGATTGTATGTGAAACAAATAAAATAATTAGAACGACATGAAATAAAATTACCGAATCGTAACTATATAACACTGACGTGGATCAGATAACTACAAAATAAAATAATGAGTTAATACAGGTACTAAACCATAACAAAATTACTAGTAGAAACATATTACGATTTCTGAAAACGAAATACATTTTCTATCGTTTCCCGTGTAGGAAATAGCAATATTGTCCCTATGAAATAAATTGACGGGATATTCTTTTTCGAGAACATTCATGGTGAAAATATGTTATAGCACCTCTATACCATGAAGTTTAAGTCCTAAAAGGAATCTATACTCTATCTCAGACCAGAGTCTTTGTTTCCATCTGACTATTGTTGCAGCTACCAGGCTAGGTAGTATGCAGTTATACAGAAATTGAGATGCATACTATATAGATATAGAAAAGTAGGAGAATATTTAAATCTAGAAGAAGAAATTATGGTTTATCAAAGTTTAGTATAGGCTGGGGAGGTGTTTCAAAAACATATTGTAGTGCTCTTCAAGTGTCCCAACATAAGTTCTTGAGAATTATGTTGAACAAACATCGAATGTATCCCACTGATCTACTGTTTTCTGAAACTAAAATACTAGATATTCGAAAGATTTTCTATTTGCAAATCAATACGAGGCAATTCCTTAATAAATTGGACCTAAGACGGTATAGACTCATACTCACGAAACAAGAAATAAACATTATTCCAAATTTTTTGGGATTTTCTCTCCTCGTTTCTATAAAATAAAAATATGAATATTATTTCAATATACGTGTAGTAAGGACAAATCAGATGATTTGCCCCAAAATGTCACTGCGTTTGAAGAATTTTCCTATCAGAGAGCCTAAAAGAAAAATTCACTAGCTTGTCAGTGACAATTTGTATTGAAAAAATTGTTGGAGAAGGGAAATAAAGGTATATAGAGAAAATATCAAATTTTCACTTATCTTTGGACGTTTCGGGACCGGTTCTGCTCCCGTTTTCAACATGAGAAGAGATTATTTCAATAGCGAAGTCGTATAATGTCTTGAAGCTTTTCAGTTTTCAATGACAATTGGTGACGTTGGCAATCAAATGAGTTACAGGATGTTTTCATTAATTGATCTTGAATTTACCATTTTCATGTTCAGATTTTAGTAGTGAATACCATGTTCTGTCTATATCAACTGAACAAGAAGCAATGCTATTGTCTCCGTTCAGAAGAATGCAAGCAGATTCCTTGATTTTTCTCTTCTGGTTGTTATCTTCTTTCCCAATCTGCTTGCATTCTTCTGAACGGAGACAATAGCATTGCTTCTTGTTCAGTTGATATAGACAGAACATGGTATTCACTACTAAAATCTGAACATGAAAATGGTAAATTCAAGATCAATTAATGAAAACATCCTGTAACTCATTTGATTGCCAACGTCACCAATTGTCATTGAAAACTGAAAAGCTTCAAGACATTATACGACTTCGCTATTGAAATAATCTCTTCTCATGTTGAAAACGGGAGCAGAACCGGTCCCGAAACGTCCAAAGATAAGTGAAAATTTGATATTTTTTCTATATACCTTTATTTCCCTTCTCCAAAAATTTTTTCAATACAAATTGTCACTGACAAGCTAGTGAATTTTTCTTTTAGGCTCTCTGATAGGAAAATTCTTTAAACGCAGTGACATTTTGGGGCAAATCATCTGATTTGTTATCACTACAAGTATATTGAAATAATACTCATATTTTTATTTTATAGAAACGAGGAGAGAAAATCCCAATGAATTTGGAATAATGAATGTACCACCTCCTCGATTAACCTACAGACAGTATTTAAGAAATAAACATCAATACGTTGCACCGGCTATGAAAAAACATATCGGGCTGAAGAGTTATTTATACCTATGAACAAAATTGAATAACGACCTATCAGAAATTGTTAACACAACATAATTTGTCAAATTTCAAAATAAGCCTCACAGCCCATGTCGGAAGTAGATCCAGAAGAGAGATTCATGAGTTGATTGAGGTCTAAAATAATTATCTACATGATCAGTTTTATACACATACTTGCTACACATCTATGATCAACTTGTCACGATTATTAATGAATTATAGTCAAATGCAGCTGTCTTGAATCCTGTCTGAAATTGCGCTGTCTCCTTCTTTCTTTCTTCCTCTTATTTTAAATCAATTCCTTTTGAGAAGGAATATTCTCAGATATAATTATGAACATAAAAAATGGATATACAGTGTGACCCACCTCTATCTTACGTAATCGTTGGGTAAGGCTCCTGAAATTTGCTGTAGCGAGAAATATACCAAAAATGCACTCTATGACGTCTTGTATGAGGAATATCAATTCATCATACATCCAAAGACAATTCCTTTCGTTTTCAACTTTAAAATATTTATTCTAGATAGTAGGTGATTATATTGTAATAACTGTGTAAATTTTGTATTTGTATAATGTATACTTATGATATTGTGTTATAGCACGTACAATTCAGGCATTCAGTTATATAATAAATTACCACAAGAGATTGTAAATGAAACTAATTACAACATCTTCAAAAATAAATTGAGAAAACACCTAGTAAGTAAATGCTACTATAAAGTGAACGAATTTCTAGATGAATGAAAATGCTATACTAGAATATTATCTTGTTTATAAAAATTTTTAAGATTCTCCTGTACCTCTCACAATTTTGATTATCTACTCATAATAATTGTTTTGTCAGCTTTTACCTGTGATATTTGTAATTTTACTTCATTTTATGTATCTATGTATCTATTATGATTATGTTTTATGACTTTTCCAATATCATGTAACAATGATCAAAATGGAATAAATATTTTATTATTATTATTATTATTCATTGATCTTGTCATCAATAACTTCTATGTTATTCAAATATTTATTGAATAGTTACAATTATTGTAAACTTCCATGTAAACAATGATTTCTGCCAATAAACATTCATTCATTGAATTTTCATTGGAAACGCCCTGAAAATACGTCAGTCATTCGTCACTGGGCCAGCAATGAACAAGCAATAGATTGAAGTACTGCTTCGTCAATATCCAGTGGGCAATTTTTGTGATTAACCATTGAAAAATGCCAATATCAAGCCAATGATAGTTCACTTGAGTGACATTGCTCCAAAAGTTGTCTCTGGTTTGTGATTGATCAGATTACCTGATGTGTGGAATAGTCGTTATAATCAATTTAGTTGAATAAATAGACATAGATAACCAAGTGACTAGTTTTATTCCTTTGTTCATTTCACAACGCTGAACAAATCCCACCATCCGTATGATGGCACCAAATCTCTTCCTACTATTGCGTGTACATTTCAATAAGACGATCTGCTTCTCTGTAACCAGATTCGATTGCTCCATGAACAGTTGAGAAATGCTGTGGGCTGGTTGCTTCCCCAGCAAATTGGATGACAGGAGAACCGTCAGAACTCCTTAAAGGTTCCATCAAATCAGTGATGATATGGTCTGTGGTGTTTAACGTTTGGTAGGAATATGTTCCTCTGAAGTTTGGATTGGAATACCAAGTCGATCTAAAAAAAGAATTGGTAATTAAAATTTCCTTTGAATTCTCTGGTTTTTCAGTGGTGAAATCATATCGTTTAGATAATTGATGATACCAAATGCATTGAACGATATTATATAAATATCTCCTCATGAGTATTATTGAGAAATTACTCCAGAAAATATGTCGAATCCTACGTGATCAAAGCTAATACTCCATCAATAATTTGATTTCGCTAAATTGAATTCATGTTATATTAAAAACTATCTTATCTTTTTCTTTCCACGTATGAACGAATCTTCTCTGTAATTTTCTAAACAACCCCACATGAATCATTGTTGTTCCATAATGAATACCATTGATTTACCGGAGTATTTTTTCAGGTTTAGGTATATCATAAATATGTCCCAGGAACTTGTTCATTGTGAATTCAATTCCAGATAGTAGAATGTCATCGTCGATAGTTTCGAGTACATCAACTATATCTCCTGTTATCCATACCAGTAATACTCTGGGATTTTCTTTCAACATTTCTACGGAATATAAACGAGTAATCCATGATTCACCAATCTGAAATATTTTTTAAACTGTATGTAAAGAAAGGAAGAACAGAATGAATGAATTTACCGGACTTGGTTGACCTGGGAATACATTCATGGCATCCCTCTTGTCATCCTCACCCCAAACAAAATTGAAACTAACTTCATCCCTCCACCACCTACTAGGATATTGCAAGTAGACTTTCATAGTAGCCCCCATACCAATATTCTCTATTGCGGCCATCTTATTCTCTGGTAATCTTGGCACAAACAAGTCTTCAGCTCTTTCTTTGAGTACCCCGAGCGACGGAGTGAATATCACGTGACGTGCAATGTATATAGACCCATCTAAGCAAGATATTTCCACCCTCTTCTTAGTCGCTGTGGGGCTCCATGAGACCTTTGTGACTTCTTTGTTTAGCAAAATCTTTTCGTCGATTGGTAGTTGAACACGTTGGTCTGGATATTTTCCCATTAGTATATCGAGAAAAATTCCGTAACCAGCACCTTTCCAGATTAGTTCTTGGTGTCCTTCACATACCTGGTAACTTGTTTTCGATCTGGAATCGTACCAGGAGATAGTACCTTCCATACACATCACTATGTGGGCTAGCCAGTGTAATGCTGATTGAGCGACTTCTAACTTTTCTCTATCGTTTCCAAATTTTTCAGTGATAGAGTCATTGTACCTAAAACAAAATGAGGAGTTTTCACTGGGGGTTCTTCAATAGCAATACTTTGTGTATAAATGAATGCATTTTTTGATTAACAAAAAAAATATTGTTCTCAAAACGGAATTGCTGCAAAATGAATCACCAAAAACGGGATGTTTTTTTAAAGTGTTTTGTTATCTTTCACTCAAGGATTATCTCAAGGAATTTTACTCACTCTGTACAGCCTTGCTGGCCTTGTTGTTATTGTGATTACGTTATTCATACTTTTTATACCAATTCCAGGAAAGGTTACAGGTTACAATGATATAGATGCATTATCTCTTTTTACATAAAATTGAAAATAAATAAATACCTTTATTATATAGTGTTTGTTATGACGAGAATATTTAGGGTAGACAAAATATTCGGAGAAGTTAAATCGATTTTGCCCAACACGTGAAGAAATTGATTGAAACTAAAATGGTTCCATAAATAAAATGTAAGATAAATCTTTCGATCTTTCTTTGTTTTGATAATTATGATATATAAAGATAAAAGGATAAAAAGAGTGAAATAGTAACGAAAAACAATAAGAGTAAAAATTCATTTAAACCTAATTACAGTGGAATTCTAACAAAATATATTAGAGTGAAATAAATACAACATTGATAAAAATGGTAAAGACTACGAACTATATACATACATCTTTTCAAATATGACAGGTACACAAATAAAGTTTCGTACTCAATTAGTGAGCAACACTTGTTTTGAGACGTAAAATCTATTATAAATCAGCATCCAATCAATCAATATACAAAGTTATAATCAATGTATTGAAAATCTGAAAAAGCTATCAATATAGGTACTATGGCACACCGACGCACTCCATACAAAATACACATATACATATACAAACATATTGAAATACCTTTACAGTGCTTTCTTGAAGTACCGAATGAAATCATTTTAGCAAAACTATTCATGAGAACTCTCCTAGAAGTGGTCGATTTTATTATATTCAATTTTCCACATTTTCAAAAAAGAATTGAATATACAGGGTGTTTCACGTTTGAGATATGAGGTCCACGACATATTTTCAAATGAATTACAGTTTATATTATTACATTATTGGAATCTCCATGAAAAGCTGAATTCAAAAATATATCATGCAACGAGTTTCTATACAGTGCGTCTGTTGAATTGAGTGCTTTCGTGAAGTACTGAATAATAATTATTTATAAATGTGGCAAATTGAAAAAAAAAATCCATTAGTTCAAGGAGATTTCTCAGGAATTGATAGCATTGATAAAAATGAATTTATGCACTACTTTACAAGAGTACTCTATTTAGCGACACCCTATATACAAACCCTATGTGTAATAAAATTCTGAATACAGCTTTTCGTTGAGATTCCAGGAATAGAATCATATACAGGGTGTTTGTGAATAAATCAGACAAACTTCAGGGGGTGATTCCATGTAATATTTTAGGAAATTTTTGATTTACAGAGGATGTTGAAGTTGGAAGTATCTATTGTTTTTATTTATAACGCCCCTGTATGAGCTATCATGGTGCCAAAACCAAGTATGGTTGGAGACTTAAAAAGTCCCAAAATTTCAAAATGATTCTTATTGAGGTTATTGAGTAATCTCAATTTTTATTGTTTCCCCAAATAAGAAAGCAAGATACAAAAGAAGCACAGAGGATATGAAAGTTGATATTTCAATTGTTCAATCTAATAAATAGTTATTTTTGTATCTAGAGCGCGAAATGCTACTTTGGTGATCGAGATCTGATTTTTTTAACGAGGCGTAGCCGAGTTGACACAATAGTCGAGATGACCAAAGTATTTCGCGCTCGAGTTGCAAACAACATTTTTTCTACAAACGTCAAAAAATATAGTTCTAAAGTGAAAATATGCTTAGCTTGATATAAAAAATAGTGTTGAACTGGCTTAAAAGGCCTCCCCTACCCTCCCTAGATACGCACGATGTTCCACGAACATAATTGGAATTTCCTTTCGTGCGCTCCAAGAGATAAAACAAAGTTATTGTTGAACATTCAGAAATAAATGATTTCGTGGATGTTTGCTCGATTGAGGACCAAAAAGTTGAAATATAAATATCTCATATATTTTACATAACAATGCGCGAAGTTGGTACTTCGCGCACTGTTTTACTTCGCGCATTGTTTTGTGCAAGGTATCATGGTAACGTAGGGAACTGAAAAAAAGTGTCACTTCGCAATCTGTTATCAATGCGCGAACCTTGTCATTTTTTGACGTTCGTAGAAAAAATGTAGAAATCAGGAGAACCAGGGGCGTACAATGATATTAACCGTAACGCCACTGACAATATTATTGTGCATCCGATCCCATCAAAAGAAGCTCCATGTTACATTCAACAAAATCACCAAGTTTCATTGGAATTGGTAAAAAGACATTTGAGTGATGATAAAAAAAAAACGATTTTTCATGGAAATAATAATACTCTGTATCTCGTAAAAGAAGCAAACTTTATTTTCTGTACTATCACAATTTGAAAAAATTGTCTCGGTCGTCATTACTCGAACGTGGATCACCCTGTGCAATTAATTCTTTCTTATAAATGTGGTAAATTGAAAATACAAAATCGACCTATTTCAGGATATTCCTCTGAAATGCATAGATGGCTGAAATAGTTTATTGTGAAACAAGTGGGGAAAGTTCAACTTTTCTCACGAGTGTGAAAGTTTGTGGCACGAACCTGAAGGGCGAGTGATGCAAACACACGAGTGAGAAAAGTACTTTTCCGCACATGTTGCACAGTATACTTTTTCTACAACTGCACTTATCCAAAGAATCCAAGTAATGTTACTCATTGGTATATTCATTTTATAATGTGGCACTATGCCACATTGCATATTATGACCAAAGAGTAGGACGCCTTTCCTAGTTCCTCAAAGTATTTCAAAAAAGAACACTTTCCGAAAAAGACTTTTATTTCTGTATTTTTTTTAGATTCCATAAATTTTTCGTACATACCAATTCATACTTTTTTCTTTGAATTCCCGGAAACAAATCCAATTTTCGCAGATTATTTATTATGAATTGTTGGAATAATATTTGATGGAAACTGCGATTTCTATCAGAAGCACTAATGAGAACCACTCTAAAGAATTAAAAAAACTGACAGTTGTGACAACTATGCAAAGCTGAACAGCAGCCAATTACGGTATACTGGGACACCCGGTATACCTTAGGACAAGATCCACAGTTGATTTTGTCCCTGATTTTTCGAATACAAACTAGATATTGTGCCTAATTTCCGAAAATGGAAGTTTATCGATCCTGTCCACAGGTAATTAATCCTCCAAGTTGGGAAAGTACGATATATATTAGTTAAGCAAGCCAACGTTGGTTTAGTTCATTGTACCAGTGAGTTTTGGTCGATTTTTGTTTATTCTCCATGGAAATGTGGTGTTGGCAAAGTGCCGTGAGAAATAATATTTTTCTCCGATTGGCAGCAAAATGGTTACTTTGCTGATTGATATGTGTCAGCAAAATCAATAATCCATGAATCGTTTATAATTTCCTTCATATTTCATCCGAGACTTCTCCGGCAACAAATTCAACTCTATATTTTTTTCCACCTCCCTTATTTTTGGAGGAGTAAGTACTTCCAGGTCGCTATCACTGTCCATTATATAATAATTCAAATATACCGATGTATTTTCGCACAACCGTCAGAAATTTCATGAATTGTCAAACTGTAATTATTATGGACATTTCCATAGAAACCAACCATTCCAAAAACTGCGATTTCTATCAAATTTTATTTTAATCGAACACTACAGGAGAAATAAAGAGATTGTGAGAATTGTAATAATTTACAAATACAATATCATTATGAACAATCGGAGAAAAAATTATATGTTCAACTCGACAGCAAAGTAGATTAACTGCCTTAGCTAAAATCCTAGCCTCGCTACGCTCGGCTATGAATTCAGCCTCGGCAGTCAATCTACTACTTTGCTGCCTAGTTGAACAAATAACTATTCTCACAGTATGAGCAATACATGGTTTTGAAACTAAGTAAGCTATGAGAAATGCGCTACTTTTCATAGCAGTAGTAGAAAAATGCCTTTATTCAGTACATTACAAAAGCACTGTTTATGTTTATTTTTTCACAAACGATAAGATTTCCACAAAATTCTCAAACACACGACATGTTTCCCTAACACAGTAGCTTCGTCAGGTGATATACTGATGAAATGGAGAATTTTGAGGAAATCTTATCGTTTGTGAAGTTTTTACATTTGCCAAGGATTTCAATCAAGTATCGGCCGAATCAATTTAGACAAAAAAACTGTTTATGTTGTTTGGGGTAATGAAGAAAATCAATGATTTGATAACTATATACTCAATCAGATGTTAGATTTGAACTAGGCATTCTGTGATGTACACCAGACAATAAAAACTTACTAACATTTTCCCGTAAGTCAATCCCATACTTTCATTCCTGCTACCACGTTTGTAATGAAGCATTTCCAGCATAGCATGAACCACTTCATTGCTAACGTCTTCACTAACATTCTTCCCAGAAGACAGGAAAAAGTTGTTAGGGACCTTGGTATGCCTCAGGAGATTCGTTAGGTTCATCTGTACCAGCTTCTCCCAAACGATGTTGCCTTTTTGACCATGACAAGAGGCTGCCCCCAAATCCACATAACCATCCCCAAATTCTACGGAACGTATTCTACCTCCAATTTGGGATTCTGCTTCCAGGATAAGAAAATCATCGATGCCATTTTCCAGGAGTCTAGTAGCTGCAGAAATGCCAGCTGATCCAGCACCGATGATTATTATTGGTGTCTTATTCTCGAAAATATCGCATTTTTCATCAAAAAGCAAATAGAACAATATGCCGCAAAGGTACTTCAAGATATTATCCATGATTTGTTTTGACCAAATTGAGCCACTGACTGCTACTTATTGTTAATACAGCTTGCATAATTAGGTTATCCTACGATCCGTTAAATGCATTAATTAATTGACAAACAATTTTTAATCATGAATAAAAACTATATAGGGTGTTCATTTTGCTTGGTTATTTGGGATTTTCTCTCGTTCCTATAGAATAGAATACGTACCTATACGTACGTACTAATTTCTATTTTAAGAATCTCATGAGGCTGAGACCCATTTTATATTTGATGACAAGTAGATTATCTATAGAAATTTTGATTGCCTTCACCTTACGTTACCCTATATCGGGTGACCCAGATCTTTAAACACACCAGTTATGCTTGCAGAAAATATTAAGAAAATTACTCTATTTTCGAACACAAATGACTTTGAAGCCATTGTGTTACAGTCAACTTATGTTAAACCACCCTTGAAAAGCCACCCCCAACTTCGTTCATTCAAGTAACATCCTATGTATAGATTTTTTTGTTGATATGTGAAGTGCAATACAGTCAGATGCAATGAACATGTCACACCTGGGCAGTGATACCACTTCTTGTTCCTAAAAAGACAGTACTGTTTTCTGGAAGGAAAGGAAAATATTCCTCCTGCATAGAAAAGGAGGCTACTTTATTTCAACTATTCAATCTCAATCGTCCTAAATGAACCTCTTTCCAAAAAATTGTATTTTTCGAAAAATCACTTGGTAAACAGAATTTTAAAAAGCCGAACATCGCAGGCATTGAACCCGTGTCGCCGACGTGGGATTCAAACGCACAGTCAACTACGCCACGATTCGTAGTAGCTGTGGTAGTATGAAAGAAGATTTCAGTCTCTGTACCCGTACTTGCCGCGCTGATTATATTTGTTACCTCTTGTCTAGGCGCTAGAGTATTCGGATTCGAACGAAGAAGCGATAACTAGCAACGCTGCACTCCCCACACCAAGTGTACTCCCTAGACGCTACTTGATTCATAGGGTTCATTCGGGTTCCGATTTCAGAACTGTCCAAGAATCGTTCTCGAACTGCGCAGAACTAGTGCGCAGTCGTTTCGAATCCTAGGACTGTTTCAGAACGGTTCACAAATTATGAAAACCTGAACACGGCAGAAGAGAACCTCTGAGAACATAACCTCTATTCAGAATTTGTGAAAAAAACAAAATTTTGGATCCTGTATCCTTTATTCGAATAATATTCTGAAGCTTCAAACTCTCCTTTGAGTCCATTCACAATATCTCTGGCAACCCTCTGTGGAGGAATATGTTTTCTCCCTTGTACCTACATGAATTTGGACACCCACCTGAAATGTTCAATAATAATAATAATAAATAAATAGGTAAAATATTTTCAGCAACTTCAGCAAGTAACTCCTTCACCACTGCTTCCAAAAGATGAATATCTACTATCAAATGAATGTACTAACTCCATGATATTGAGGAAATATTGAAAAGAGCAATGACCAGTAGAATGAACGAAAATATATCAGACAGAATCGAAAACTAAATGAAATGAGCATGCGCCAAAAATAATCCTACGGTTCATGCTCGAGAGCATGTACTAGTTTCGGATAGTTCTAGGACCGTCCCAGGACGATTCTGGAAAAACCCGAACGCGTAAAGAGCCAATCCTAGAACCATACTGCGCAAACTCCTGACAGTTCCAGAACCGTAATAGTTCGAACCCGAATGAACCTATTGACAGACCAAAGGTGGATATATGTATGGTGAAATAGCTCCCTCTTACAAAACACTAGAAATTTTTGTAGACCTCTGCCTACTTGATTATGTCGAATTCTATCACCGTAGTAAGGCCGCGCAAAACTGGCGCTGTTCCCGAAGTGATCTCGCTACACAATGGTTGTTTTGTTTTGTTGTTTACATTTACGTATATTAATTCGTAATTTAAAAACATTGAGAAAAAGTGATTGATTTAATGAAAAAGACGTGAAATTTTCATTATATCTGTGAAGTATATGTCGCACGATGTTCCGTACGCCATCTACAGTCAATCCGGTGCGGCCTTGCTACGGTGTTTCGCGGTCTACACGTTTTGGAAAAAAACAATTGACAAGTGGTCCAGTCTATTTTCATCATGGACAGACCGTTATATGAAGTGATAACGAGCTCATCGTCACTGTATTGTTGTTATTACATATTATGCCTATTATGGTAAGTGGAACTCCCTCCCTTATTATCATTTATGTATCCTGAAGAGAAGTAGGAATAAAAGGAGGCAACTCATGTGGTAGTTTTATTTCTCTAATAATAATTATACAAACGTCTTATTGATGAATAATCAATGCACAAGGGAATTAATTAGCAAAGGATACTTGTACAGTCCAATGAGACGATCTGCTTCTCTGTAACCAGATTCAACAGCTCCTTGAACGGTTGAGAAGTGGGTAGGGCTGGTCGCTTCCCCCGCGAATTGTATAATGTAAGAACCATTCGAGGTTCTAAGTGGTTCCAACAAATCCGGAATGTTGTTGTCTGTGCTGCTCAACGATTGGAAGGAATAACTTCCTCTGAAGTGTGGATTGGAATACCAGTTTGAGCTGGAAAATGGACACGTTTTCCACAACAGTAGTCAAAATAAGAACCAAAAGTACCCAAGTATGAATTGAGTATGAGTATTGAATAAATACTAATACAAAAGCTCAAAGTCATGTTCATAAAATGACGGGAGAAAAACAACTACTTTCCTGGCTAATGCCACGCATAACATCAAACTACATCCTCCCGAAATCTATGAATCGATACGTATAAACGAATACTAATGCAAGTGCTTCTTTCCCTAATGCTGATTGATTTCGATTTGGCCAGTTGAACGCAACGACACCTATACAAACCGGGTTTGAGCTTCTGGTTTTCATCAGTGCATATGGTGCTAGCAGTCTGAAGACCGCCGGCTAATAAGCGTAACCTCGCCCAACAAATTCCAATCAGCAATATTTGTACTGTCATAAGAATATCTCATAGGCAAACACTTGCATTGAAAGTGTTCGTTTTACGTATTGATGCATAGATTTCGGGAGGATGTACAGGGCTAGTTTCATTAATGTGAACCCCCCTCTATCTTTTTTGTTTTCCACTCATTCAAAAAATTTCAAAACTGATTTTATACAATTTTTCGCACGGATTTCACTCATTTTGATAATGATGCAATATCTATTCAAATATACAGGGTATACAGGAATAAATATATTTTTCAAATGAAACGCCCTGTATATTTCGATAAATTTGAATTCCCTAAATCATCCTGATTTCAAACATACATATAGAAGGATCTTCGTCTAACAAAATATACAGCGCATTCCATATAAAAAAATCAATATATTTCTGTATACCTTGTATATTTGAAGAGATATTGCAACACTCTCTCAATATGATTCATACTAATATGGAATATCCTAAAAAAATCAGTTTTTAATCTTCATGAATGGGTAAAAAACAAAGGAGATGAAGGGGGGTTCACATTAATAAAATTAGCAAGTATAGTTGTTTTTCTCTCGTCATCTACCATTGTTGTTCATTTTATGAAAATTTGTGGAAATGAATGAGCTTTTTTGTATTCCTTTAACAATGTATTCCACTTTTTTCTATTCCCTAGTTGTTATTAGAGCATTCGTCAGGTATTGTAGCAATTTGCATTTCAAAGCTATTTACTTCACGCTAGTTTTTGATCTTTCTATACCATACATGATCATTACTCAAAAAATAATTGTATCAATTGTTTTTGGATGTATGATAAATTGATATTCATCATACAGGACGTGGAAAGAAATTCTGAATTGCAAAAACCAAATCACGATTGAAGGTCTATAAAAAAACAAGTTTCCATCGTTCAAGTTTGAACCCCTTGATTGATTGATTCAACAGAAAACAACTACTTTCCTGGCTATATGCCCCGACGAACATAGAATTATCTATCTATTTATCTATCTGAGAGTGAGAAGTTGGGATAGGGACATGTAAACCGTGTTGACGAATAATGAACAGTTTCGACAGAAAAAAATCCTGAACTTGGAAAATCTCGATTTTGCACACCCTATATGTCAGTAACTTTCACTGCTAGACCCTAAGTATGATGGGTCGTTGGAATCAGATCTTCAGGGAGAATTCAAAAATGAAATGAAATATAGGGTGTTCCGATGAAAAAAACATAGCTTTGATGTGCTGTGACCTTACGGAACACCCTGTGTATTTCAAAGAAATTTTGAAATGTGAAGCTCGGTTATTACTTCAATTTTGATTCATGAATTTTTTTTGTATCTCTCAAGACAATAGAGAAATCGAACTCTGGAGTCTTAGTTGGCCACCCTGTATATGCACATAATATCATTCTGAACATTCAACAGGAAACAACTACTCTCCTGGCTATTTGCCACGTCAAACATTGAATTATATCTGTTGAACACCAAAAAAAAGAGCATGAAAAATGAAAATCCTCTAAAATTGAGAATCGAAATTATCAACAGTAATTACACAAGTGGTGGTAATTTTTTGATAATTTTAACTAGATGCACGAATCTTTGTTGCTATAGAAATTTCACGAGTGGACGAAGTCCACGAGTGGGATTTCTCAATAGCAACAAAGACGAGTGCTAAATCTAGTTAAAATTATTTAAAAAAATAACCAACACGAATGTAATTCGGCGTGATTATTTTTTTTACTATTTCGCAAAATGCCCCAGAATATGTTTATTAAACAATTATTTATTGAACAATCATTTATCATACAATTATATATCAAACAATTATATATCAAACAATTATATATCAAACAATTATATATCAAATAATTATATATCAAACAATCAAGAATGTTTACAATTTACGTTTGTAATGGTGCAATTATTGTATGTTATTGTACAATTTCCTTGAGATGAAGAGGTCGAAACAGTGTTTCCTCTCAAGTTGTTTATCATGCTTGCGTGATGCTCTTTGTCAAGTTGAAGATAGGGTTTGATGGAGCTTGCAGATGAATGTCCAGTTATCTTCAACAACTGCTGCTCACTTACTCCACTTTTAGCGAGTTGTGTCACAGCAGAAGAACGATGTGAATGGTTTGTAACCTTGATTTTGCTAGGATCCAAGCCAATCTTTCGGGCCGCTTGTTTTGTCCATTTTGCTATTTCATTTTGTCCTACCGGAAGATTTTTGTACCACCCCTTAGACAAAGGTTGCTGCCAATTTGGATTAGGTGTTAAAAATAAACGATCAATTTGAATATTTGCACTTCTTTTCGACATTAACTTCCGAAAGAGACGTACTGGACATTTTTCAGTCTCATTTTCATTTGGCGTTAAAAATTTGCTATCAGATAACCTGTGCGATCCTCCTTGTGCTGTTTTAGAAATTATTGGATTATATTCTATCCTTCCAGTTTGATTTCCATAATGATCCATTTCTTCTCTAAAATACTGTACTAATGCTTTTGTCGCTTCTCCGCCTCTCCAAGCCAATTCGTAGCTAGCAGTATGATAAAACTTCCTTTGTAAGCCATTTGGAGTATTTTCGTCCCATGCTGCTATCATTTTTTCTATTTCTTCTTTCTTGAGAGCAACAGAAGATGCTTTTCTTTTTTCAGGAATATGTTGAAGTTCTCGACGTTTGCAATTCCGCGCATCTCGCGCGGTCTTAAATTCAATATCAGTGAACGGATCAATGTTTCTATTATACTCCCTGAAATATTTTTCCTGGATAAGTTTTGCGGTGACATTCCACAAAGTTTTGACAACAGATTCTTTGTAGTTTTCTCCATTTTTTTTTCGCATGTTATATGCCCAGTCCTCCATAATTGATGCGATTTGTTTCATCTCGGTTGTTGCAGTCAACTCATAATTACGTTCAAGGCAGAACTCCAAAAACTGTTTCCATATCGTATTCTTGCTTTTTGTGGTGTTGATTGGTGTTGCTTGTTCGACAGCTAAATGTATTGAATCAGCCGAGCTTTGACCAAATCTCGTGCTCATGTCGGTTTCTGTTAATGACTAATAATAATTGTAAAGTTTTTCCGAACCTATACCAACTCGTTTAAACGTTAGAGAAAATCACAAAATACGAAGTCTGACTGATACTTAACAATGGCGTCGGTTCTGAATTCGAAATGTTTACATTGAGACAAATAGCTGCGTTACCTTGACAACCAAGTCAAGTCAATGCTAATTCTCTAAAGGTGCCCCATAGACTGCGTTGTTGGTAGGCCGTTTTGTTCGTCGAACAAGTCTGTTCGAACAAAAAAGACACAAAACTAAAGTGTGTGGCCAGCGAAAACGAACATTTTACAGCCACACACTTCGGTTGTGCGCAATTTTTGTTCGAACAGACTTGTTAGTCGAACAAAACAGCCTATCAACATCGCAGTCTATGGGTCCCTTTTTGTATCCATTTGAAGGAAGATCCAAACGTGAATAAGTCATCGCGGTAATTTGATACTAACAAATTATCAGTATGATTCCGAATGATTGGCTAGAATCACGCATTGATATTGGTTGAAACAAGGAAAACGTCACATTTTGACATGTAAAAAAAATAATCTCTCAAATTGGATAAACTAATATGGTGTAATATGGCATAAAATTATAACTTACGAGCTCATTAAGATCAGAGTTCATACAAGTATACTTCTCCTATACATTTCAATTTTCATGTCAATACTGAACATGTTGGTAAGTAAGTAATAATTATAGCTGAGAATATTTCTTTTCAATTAAGTATATGAATATTTGTTAGCTGAATTAATTTTGAATATATTGAATGAATGACATCAACCTACCGCAAAACCTTGTCTGGTTTGGGTATATCGTAAAGATGACCAAGGAACTTTTTCAGGGTGAATTCTATCCCAGATAGTAGAGTTTTTTCATCCGTATTCTCCAAAGCAGGCACTACGTCTCCGGTAATCCATACCAGCAATACTTTGGGATTTTCTTCCAACATCTCAATGGAATATAGACGAGTTATCCATGATTCTCCATTCTGGAAATAATGAGTTGCTATGGTTAATTTGATTATGATTATTTATTTGACATTATAATGTCGAACTGAAATAGTTTTTTATAGTTATCTTGTTGAGTGAAGAAAATGGAACCGATTCTGAAAATAACACTGAAAAGAAAATTAATCGAATTAATTGCATTATTGTTTTTCGAATTTTAGATCAACATACCTATTTATCTTATTTTAACAATTCTAGATCAACATACCAACTCATCTTTGATTTAGAATTGTTGATCAACAATAATAATATCTATAGTGATTGAACATTTTTCAGAAATCGAAATATTGACAAATCTCTGATCATGTCATCTAAATGATCTTTCGATCTGATTTCAGATGGCATCGAATGATTTTATCTATTCGGTATGCAATATCTACACTATAATAATTATTTCTACTAAATTTCAACCCAGCTGAAATAAAAGAAATTCATTCCTGAAATATATACTTATTTTGTTATTTTCATGAAGAGATGCATATACAGGGTCGCTGATATGTATGGAAACGGTCGATTATTTCCTAAAGTAAGATAGCTAGCGAAAAATGTTAGGATACAAAAGTTGTAGGGATTTTCAAAATCCATAAAGCGAATGAAAAATTAAGTATACAGGATGAGTCAAAAAGTCAGGACGAAACAAAGTTGCTTTTTCTCTAATGGGACACCCTGTATATTATTCCACATTTCAATTCTGCTCGAAATTCTGAACAAAATTGATATAGCACATCATTTCCTAAATTCAACTGTTTTCGAGATATCGAATTTTGAAAATAACTTATAATAAATTATCCAAAAATGTTAGTCCATTAAGTTCATAGTCCATCAAGTTACCTTTGAAAGTTTCCAGCTCCATAACAACGCCGCGTCGTTCTTTTGTCTAACAGTGATGATCTTGACAACACATGTCAAAAATACATTTAGTGTAAATAAGTTTCGCGCAAAAATGGCACGTTTAACTAATACTGAGCGTATTGAAATTTTAATGATCATAGGATTCGGTGATAGAAGACGAAGTTGTGACCAAGTAGTGAATATTTTTAATGAATTGCATCCAAATCGGGAACCAATTTCTAAATCAACCGTTTCAAAAACATTGCAGCGTTTTCATGAAACTGGAGATGTCAAAGATCGACCAAAAAGTGGAAGACCAGTAAGCGTTACAAATGAAGAAAATGCTTTGAATGTCATGTTAGATGTGGTGGAAAATCCAATAAATTCGGCACAACAGAGGGCTTTGAATCATAACATGAGTCGATATTCCATTCAAAAAATTTGCAAACTGCAAAAATTCCATCCATATAAAATTCATTTGGTACAAGAATTGAGTGAAGACGATTTTGATCGTAGAATCGAGTTCTGTGAAGTTATTATGGATAAATTAAGCGAAAATGTCAACTTTGTCAACCACATATTGTTTTCTGACGAATCTACATTTTGTTTAAACGGGCACGTAAATCGACACAACTGTAGGTATTTGTCAGACCAAAATCTACATTGGATGGAGGAAGTTCACACTCAACGGCCACAAAAAGTAAATGTCTGGTGTGGCATTATTGGTGGACACGTCATAGGACCCTATTTTATAAACGGAAATTTGAACTCTGAACGATACTTATCACTTTTACAACAGCATATTATTCCAGAGCTTAGACGATTATTCCCGAATAATAACAATCTCAATTTGCCGACAGAACAAATATGATTTCAGCAAGATGGGGCTCCTCCACATTTTGGACGTATGGTACGGGCATATAATAATAATAATAATAATATTTATTTCCAATCATTGAAATTACATAGAATAGTACTTATCAATATGACATATGGGAAATAAAAATGGAGTAGGTAGATATGTAGTGAGTTCACAAGGTTATCTTAATTTGAACTTTCATAGTTATTTCAAATAACTTAAACCTGCCCTTAGACAGGTTTGTCTGTTTCCTTGAAATAACTATATATTCTTCTTAGAATAAGAGTAATTATTTATAGCTGTCGGTTGGATGCATATGTTATTCAGAAATTATCAAACCTATATATAGATAATTAACATAATAATAACAATAATTATAATATCAGTACTTAATTAACCAGTAATAATACTAATAGTGTTGATGGATCATTCAATCGCAGTGAATGACGAGATAAAAGAACCCTATTGACAATATCATTGTAATAATTGTACTAATGCTAATACCTAACATACCTATTTACTAAAAATCTATATATATCTATACATACACACACACACATATATATATACATATACACACATACATACATACACACACACACACACACACACACACACACATACATACATATATATATACACACCTACTGATATGTACGAGTATATTTAAACCGTATATTATTCTGACAGTAGATCAATTCATTACAACAGGTTGAGCATCTCGAATCCATGTATTCAAAGAATGTTTGAAAAATTTGTGATTCAATTTCACCTTCAAATTTTGAGGAAGTAAGTTGTAAATTTTTGTGCCTACATACAAAAATGTTCTTTGACCTATGGCTTTATTGGTTTTGATTATATTTAACTTATCGTTCAAATTTTGCCTGGTTCGATATATATGTTGTATTTTGTTTGTGAATAGATGATGTTTAATCATGTACAATATTGCCACTTTATAAAAAAGTTGTCTTATTGTCATCACTCTTGCTTTTTTGAAAAGCAAATTTGTTGGATACAAATTACCTAGGTTCATTATTGTTTTTAAAATTCTTTTTTGTATTATTTCTAGTGGTTTTAATGTTGTTGTATAAACTCCCCCCCAACCTATGATACCATAGGTTAGGTGTGATTGGACAAGTGCATAATAAATTGAGATTTGTTCACTTGTACTTAGTATATTCTTCATTTTCGTGAAAAAATATGATATTGATCTAAGTTTTTTTGTAACGGATTCTATATGTTTATTCCACCTTAAGTGACTGTCTACATTGACCCCCAGATATTTTATATCATCAGCTCTTGATATAGTCCATTGTGGTTGTTTTCTATGTGGTAATTCTATATTGATTTCACTATTTTCTGGAATTGTATATTTATTATTCGTGAATGTTAAGTAGACAGTTTTACCAAGATTAATGGTCAATAAGTTTTCATCTAACCATTTCGTTATTATTCTCAGATCTTTCTTCATATTTAATTCAACTTCCTTCCACGTATTACCATTAACCAGTAGAACGGTATCATCTGCATATGAGATAATTTTTCCAGTACATTTCAAAGAAAGCATATCATTTATATAGCATATGAATAGTATTGGGCCAAGAACAGTGCCCTGCGGTACTCCATACTGAATTAATCTTTTTGAACTCAATCCATCATCTACTTTGGTTCGCTGATATCTATCTTCAAGATACGATTTTATAAGTTTCAAAGCTATTCCTCTTATACCCATGTTTTCTAATTTATTTAATAAAATTTCTCCACTGACTGTATCGAATGCCTTGGCAAGATCTAAAAAGATTCCCGCGCAAGGCATTCCATTATCAAGTGCTTCGTATACGTGACCTGTTAGAATGCCAATTGCATCTGATGTAGACTTATTTTCGCGAAAACCAAATTGTGTGTTTGATAGTAGTTCGTTTATATTAAAAAATGTCATCAACCGATTTTTAATAGCTTTTTCGAAAATTTTTGCTACGTTGGATATTAAATTGATCGGTCTATAATTTTTAACAAGATTCTTGTCCCCTGATTTATAGACTGGTATAACTATTGATTCCTTGAAGGCCGCAGGACAGTGTCCTTTGTTGAAAATCAGATTAATAATATGGACTAGTGGTTTGCATATATTCATATAAATTTCTTTCAAAACTTTGACAGTAATTTTATCATGGCCAGGTGAAGAACCATTTTTTAACGAAAATATGTGGTTTTTTATTTCATATTCATCAACTGGGGCCAAAAATATAGAATTTCTACTACTACTATTTGTTCTGATGTTAGTCATTGTTATGTCTTTATCTATTAAATTATTTTCAATTTCTTTTTTCATGTTCTCTCCAATAGTGGTGTAATGAATATTGAATATATTTGTGATTTCGGTTTTGTCTGTTATATTTTCTCCTGATTCTGTTGTAATAGTATGTATTTTTTCCTTTTTGTTTCGATTATTATTCACATAGTTCGTCATTGTTTGCCATATCTTTTTTGGATTATTTTTATTTTTCTTGATAAGTTCTTTGTAATAATTTGTTTTCAATCTATTAGTCAGTTTGGTTATTTTGTTTCTATGTATTTTATATTGTTGTAAAATATGTTCATCGCCTGTTCGTTTAAACTGATTGTACAGATTATCGCGCGTTCTCATGGAGGTTATTAGTCCCTGAGTAACCCATGGTTTTTTCTTGTTTTTTTTATTACAACTTATTTCAGTGGTACAGTATTCTACTTGATCCTGTATTTTCTTCAAAAATAGGTTCGTTACCTTCTCAACATCATTTTCAATATATATATCTTTGAAGAATTCATGTTGACCCGTAATTTCCACTAGTTTTTTATAGTTGGTGAATTTCTGTGTTTCCTTATTCATTTCGTTTCTGTGATATTCATTTTCTTCTATTATAAGTTTCACTAATATAGGATAGTGATCTGTAATTTTTGAGTGCAGTACCATAGGTAAAAGACTATTGTTTGTAAAATCGTTACTTTTCAGAAATATATGATCTAAACATGTGGAGGAGTTATTCTCTTCCCTGGTTGGACAATTTATCAAAGATTTGTATCCATTTTCGTAAAAAATATTGAGATATTCATGAATTTCATCAGAGTTCTCTAGAATATTCAGGTTCATATCCCCTATTACAATCTTTGTATTACAAATGTCTACGATTTTTACATAGTTTTCAAGTTCTTGGAGAAAATCATTTTTATCTACTGAAGGACATCTATACAGAGCTGTAATCGAGAGACTTTTCTGACCTATTTTTACAGTGGTTTTAATACATTTGATATTAAGGATGTGTATAATCTCAGTCTTGAATTCGAGGTTATCTCTTACATAAACTACCACACCATCGCTTTTATTGAGTAATCCTTCATTATATATTTTTTTGTAACCTTTTATGTTATAGAAATCCTGATTATTTATTATCCATGTTTCAGTTAAGATTATAATATCTATATTATATTGCAGCTCACTTACTAAAACTTCAAACTCATCGAAATTCTTAGATATACTCCTAATATTGCTGTGAAAGATGGTGAAACTGTGTTTTGTTTTCGATAGTTCTTTTCTACATTCACTGACATTTTCAAGAGTAATTGTTTCAATGTCGTTAGTTTTGAAATCTCTTAAATATCTATCCATCATATACTAAAGTTTTAATGCTCAGATTACCAAAAATTATATTTAATTACAGGAAATTTAACCTATCAATTATTTTTCTGCCTTGTCGTTCTTCTTTCCTTTGGACTTGAATTGGATTTCTTTCTCTTCTTGTTGACCTTATTTGTTTCTTTCTTCTTGTTTGATGATGAATTTCCGTCTTCTTTATTTTGTACTTGTTGCTGGACTTCAGTGGTGTTTTTTTCTTGGTTTGCTCCAGTTATTTTACAATCACCTGATGTTTGATCTTCCTCGCTATCTTCATCACTGTCTTCATCACTATCGTATTCTATGTCTGATTCATTTTCTTTCAGATCTTCTACTGTAAACCACTGGCCTTCAATTTCAATTCTATTCCCTCTAATTCTTGCTATCTTGTTTTTCTGTCTCGCTTCCTTAAGATGCTGTCTGAGCACCTTTTGGTCTTCTTGGTCTTTATTGCAGAGGTCGTTGGATATCGATATATTCGATCCTTTCAAGTTTCTCAATTTTTCTTTGTTTTGGTAGATTTCTAGTTTTTTCAGGTATGAGATGAATTCCACTATTATAGGACTATTTGGCTTTTTATTCAGTTTGTATATATTGTTTACATCATTCAACTTCAAACTAAGATCTAATATTTGATTTAGTTTGTTTATTGTTTGTTCAGGTAGATTAGTATCTTCCAAATCGATCCCAAAAATGATAATGTTATTCTTTTTAATTTTTCGTTCTAAAAAGATGCATTGTTTCTCAACTTTTTCAAGTTTTTGTATTGTTTGTTCTATCTTCTGTTCCATATGCTTGACATTGCTCTTTATTTCAGTTTTAAGTTCTATTGTTTGTTCACGTAACAGCGCTTTAATATTATCAAGCGTGATATCCGTCATTTGGCCCGATAACTCTCACCTACTATCGCCGCAAAGATATCTCTGCCTCTTCGAGGATTTGTTTATTAGTGATTTCGATTTCAATTTTATTCAAACGTATACGGTATGCTTTATATTCAATGACAATTGTGTTGCTGATAAGATTATTGTATTGTTTTTTTTATACTCTGACTGCTGTTTATATGCGATCAAATGCAGGAATATAATACTGTAGAATCGTTCAGGAGCTCTGTTTTGAATCACATTAGGTAAACATAATGTACTCACATTTTCTACCTGTTTTTGAGATAACTTTGATGTGTAATTCACATGATATTCACTAAACTATCAGAGCGATCGGTTGATGATATCTAGATGAAACTTTTCCTAATAAATGGATTGGACGCAGGGGAGCAATTGAATGGCCAGCTAGGTCTCCCGATATGACCCCACTTGACTTTTTTCTATGGGGTCACATAAAAAATGTAATCTACAAAAATAGGCCGCCAAATATCGAAGAGTTGCAAGAAAGAATAAGGCATGAAATTTCTACCATTCCTCCTCACATGATTTTCGATTCACTACAAAATTTTGTTCAGCGAGTTCATTACTGTCAGGAGGTAAATGGTCAACACTTTGAACACCTTATTAAATAGAATTTCAAAGAAAAATTTGTTGTTTCTCAAAACTTGTTTTCTCTCTTTTCCTCCTGTCTTAACTATTGTTATCAAAAAATTTTAAATATCCTGGACATTCATTAAAAAATACATTTTATTGTTTCAATTGCATTTTAAACAACCCTGAACAATTATGCTTTTTTTATTTTCTGAAAAAAAATTATAATTAAATTGTAATCATAATATACACATACTCTACCTTTTGTGACTTTCATAATAAATATGCATCATTTCGTGCTTTTTCTTTAATAAATTTGAGAGTAGTAAAAAGTTATTTTCAAAATTCGATATCTCGAAATCGGTTGAATTCAGGAAATGATGTTCTACATCAATTTTGTTCAGAATTTCGAGCAGAATTGAAATGTGGAATGATATACAGGGTGGCCCATTAGAGAAAAAGCAACTTTGTTTCGTCCTGACTTTTTGACTCATCTTGTATACCTAATTTTTCATCTGCTTAATGGATTTTGAAAAACCCTGCAATTTTTGTTTCCTAACATTTTTCGCTAGCTATCTTACTTTAGGAAATAATCGACCGTTTCCATACATATCAGCGACCCTGTATGTATCAACAGCGAACGTGTCTAGATACAAGAAGCCATTTTGAAATATTTTTCCCAGATGTTCAATGTCGGTTTCTTTCTTAAGGCAGTTTGACTCTTGATAAATGAAAGACATCTCTAGGAAATTCCTATTTGAATAATTACTTTCTGTGGCTAGAATCTTTGCTGATTGATAATCCAGCAAAGTAGCGGCACTTTTCCTCGGGAATCTAAAGTAGAGTTTGCTACAAACATCTCTGCAAGAATATTTGTTTTCTCCTGCGATGTTGTTGCTAAAGTACCATCGACTTTGGAAAGTTGTAGAAATGAAATATTAGTGAAATTCCTCCAGACTGCTTTAGCGAGGGACAGAAACGAACGGGATCCATTGGGACAATCTATGAGTTTCGATCTTATTTTGGCATTGTAGGTTTTTTTAAGATGCATCTATTCTTTGGTTGCAGTTATTCCTGGCTTCAACGTATTCTGCTCTAGTGGCGAGGTTAGGGTTTTTGCGCCAGCGATGGTAGGCTGTTTGTTTCAAGGCAACAGCTCTAGAACAGTTTTTGACGAACTAGGGTTCCGAAGGTGATGATCTTTATGAAGAATGAGGTATGTATATGTCCATTCTAAGCGTAATCATCTCGGATATTTCCTCAGCACACTGTGAAGGATCCTCAAAGTCATACCATATATACATCCGATTGTTCTAAATGCTTGGGAACATTTTTCAAACATATGCAGATGACACTATCTTATGTTATAGTGCTGATATAGACAACTCAACTGAGAAGCGAACCATTCTCAATAACGACATTAGGAACTTAGTTAAGATGTCACAAAATCATTCACTCAGAATCAATCCCAACAAGTCGTCAGCAATTATCTTTGGTAGCACCAAAAGTCGTCAGAGGGCCATAGATACTACATCCATACAGGTTGATGGACAGACTGTAACATTCATCAATGATACAACAAAATGCTTGGGACTACTCATCGACAACAATTTAAGATTTGTCAAACATGTGAACAACCTTATTCGACGTTCTTATGGATTATCAAAAAACCTATACTCAAACAGACATTATTTGAATAAGAAGCTGAAAATAGCATTGCGTGACTCCCTGATTTCGTCTATTTTCAATTACAGTGATATTTTCTATGGTCCTTGTCTTCATCATGTAACCTCATTACGAATCCAAAAAATACAAAACAGTTGTGTGCGATTTATATATAATATTACTTATAAGGAACATGTATCGCCCCTTATAAGAGAAATTGGTTGGTTAAAAATGGAGAATAGACGGGAATTGCACCAATTATGTTTTCTATACAACTATCAAGTACTAGAATTCCTGAAGTATTAGCAAATAAACTCATACCGCGACATGAAATACATAATAGAGACCTGCGAACCAACACGATTCTCACTATACCTAAACACTCATCAGTTTCCTATGAACGATCATTTTCATATCAGTCGGCATCAAAATTCAACAAATACCATGATTTTATGAAATATCAGTCCTTCATAACTTTTAAAAAACAAATGAAGAAGTTCTTACACGGCAAACAGTGATCAATAAAAAAACATGAATATTAATAAATATTCTTAGTCCACATACACAGTTGAATAGGTATTATGTAATATTTTTGTGTACGATTTGTATTTAATCTCGTATCCTGGTTGAGTGGAAGATCAGCATCAGCTGAACTCCGCCAGGTTAAATAAAGGCAATTTATTATTATTATTATTATTATATTCTGTGCCGAAGAAAAAAACATGTGGAGACCGTACCAGTCTCCTGAATTGTAATGCCGTACAAGTCGTGGGGGTACCGAAGCAGTTTATAGAATTAAAAATGGGCAAATTGAATTGACTATTCTGAAATGCGATACAATTGACGTTTTCTGAAATTCAATTGACTATTCCGAAATACAATTGATACTTTTCGAAATCCAGATGACTATTCTGAAATACAATTGACGTTTTCTAAAATTGAATTGATGCTTTCTCAACTTCAATTGGAAAATGTGTAGTGTTCTACATTTACACACTAGTGGATTGTTCTTGTGTATCATGATTCAGCAGAACGAATGATTGATAACTTACCATCCAAGGTCCTTGTGTGAATTCATTCCGGACATTCTTCCTGTCATTCTCATCCCAAACCAAATTGAAAGCAACCTCGTCTCGCCACCATCGCCTCGGATAGTGCAGGAACACTTTCATGACTGCACCCATCCCGACTCTCTTAATCGCGATCATTTTCCTCTCTGGCAACCTAGGCACAAACATCTCCTCCCCTCTTTCTTTGAGTACCCCCAGCGAAGGGGTGAACACCACGTGACTGGCTACGTATGAAGAGCCGTCCGCGCAAGCTATCTCCACCCTGTTTCTAGTCGCTGCGGGGTTCCATAGGACTTTGGTCACCTCTTTGCTGAGTAGAATTTTGTCGTCGATTGGAAGAGGATTGCTGCCGGTGGGATATTTTTTCATGAGGATATCGAGGAAGATTTTGTAGCCAGGACCCCTCCAGTTGAGGTGTTGGTTGCCACCGCATTCTTCATAGGTGGTTTTCGATTTGGAATCGTACCATGATAGAGAACCTTCTATACTCATCGTAACATGCTCCAGCCACTTGCTGGCTGCTCTAGCGTAGTTGAGTTTCTCTCTATCGTTGCCAAATTGTTCTGTTATAGATTTGTTGTACCTAAAACGAGAATAATAGTTCAAGAGCCTGCTGCAAATGATATACAGAGAAGTGCACAAAAAACAGCCAGTACTGTAACTTTAGAATTATTGGAGATGGGGTGTTGAAAATTGGTGGACAGCCATTATCCCAAATTGCTCATTAATTGACGAAACGATTTTTGTTCTATCATTTGCGGTTTTACTGGAAACGGCCCCAACTTTCGATTTTCAAATAGGACACCCTGTATTGTATTCCATAATCGGTTAGGGATTGTCATAACAAACTCATCGATACCAGGTTTGATAGGGTTATTTTTTTTTTTTTTTCCCATGTTCTGGTTCCCACGAAAAGGGATATCCTGTAATGTTCAGAGAACATCGTGAGAACCAAGGGAAATAAGGTAGGAATTGGTGTTCTTCTTAAATTTCTGGAGGTTATATGCCTCGGGGAACACCTACCTTGGCAATGTGTTAAAAGCCTCGCTCTTCGTTAGATGAACGAGTCTTTGGAGAGAGATGTTCTGCAGGTCTCCAAAGTGACCACGAAGGGGTGCGAAGCCTCAACTCGACGGGTTAATCTCGCGGGGACTGCCAAGGGAGGAACAATTGTTGATATTTCAAAAGAGCATCGTCCGTGAAAATTTCTTTAAAATAGAGCCAGGTCGACAACTTTTCTGCGGTGTTCCAGAGAGGTGGGTGAGTTTGTGAGCGAGACGAATTGCTCATTTTTGGACAGAATCCAACAGTCTCAGGGTATGTTTGGGTGCTGCACTCCAAATATGGGAACAGTATTCCAGGACAGGTCGAATCTGTGCCTTATAGATTATAAGCAGCTGACTGGATTATTACGCAGATATTCGCGTTCTAAGTTTCTATATGCTCAATGAGTGTGACAGAAATAGAAGTTTCGATATTGCAAAGTCACACCCATTGAGCATATGGAAACTCCTAACGCAAATATCTTTGTAAACGTTTGAAATAACCCTATCAAACCTGGTATCGTTGAATTCATCATTATAATCCCTAACCGATTATGGAATACAATACAGGGTGTCCCATTCAAAAATCAAAAGTTGGGGTCGTTTCCGGTGGAAGTGGAAGTGATAGAAGAAAAATTGTTTCATCAATCAATGAGCAATGTGGTTCACTTGCTACCCACTAATTTTCAAAAAAAGTTACAATCCTGACCGTTTTTTGTGCACTTCTCTGTATGTCCCAAAGACATGTAAAAACATTGTCATCCATCGAACGGCACTGTGTCATTCACTATCCTGAGCAAAATGATTGAAACATTGCACCTGAGATGAGAATTATGCTATTAAATACAAATTTGATGGTAGATAGATCTCAAGAACCTATCTGTGCCACCCCTCAATCTGAGCCAAATCCACAGCACAAAGATTAATTTGCTGCCATTATTCCGGGCATACTTCAGTCATGTGATAGCGAGTTGAAACAAAAAACAAATGAAAGAAAATAATGTCCCCTTTGCGAATATCCAAACGTGCCGCGATTCAATCTGATGTAAGTTAGTGGCAGAGCGTCAATATGGTAGGCCAGGTAGCCGTGCGGACAGAGTGTCAATATTCTAGTCCGCATTCGCTTGGCGGTCGTGGGTTCGATTCCCATCGACTGCAGAAATTCTTTTGATGGCCCAAGAAAGTGTTTGGGATCACACGTTAAAAGGTAAGGCCCCCGTCATTCCTTGCTCGCACAAGAGTATCGAAGACTTCTGAGGGTTGCTCGTAAGGGGGCAACCGAATGACGGATAGAACAATTTTACAATTACAATTTACAATTTTACAATTTGCGAGAACGTTTCGCCCTCCTCTAAAGATAATATCCGATGGATCAGCGTAACACTAGAAATATGGATTAGAATTCTTGTAGTGGGAGCACCACATGATTTCTACACTTGTCCATCGGATCTTATCTTTCGACAGGGGCGAAACGTTCTCGGAAATCCCAACTACGAAATAGCCACAATGCTCAAAGTGAAATGAAATGGTAAATAAATACAACAAGCTCAAAGTCATTTCCACACAATGTTCATAAAATGAACAACAATGGTAGATTTCGGGAGAAAAACAACTACTTCCCTGGCTAATGCCACGCAGGACATTGAATTACATCCTCCCGAAATCTATGCATCGACTCGTATAAACGAATACTGATACAAGTGATTCTTTCCTGAATGCCTATTAATTTCGATTTAGCCAGGCTCTGCCACAAACTTAGATCAGTTTGAATCGCGGAACGTTTGCATATTTGCGAAGGGGACATTATTCCCTTCCATTTGCTCTTCTAAAATTCGAAAAATCAGGCGTATACAAACTTAACTGTGGATCTTGTCCTGAGAATCTATGTCCCAAGGTATATATCGGCCAGACAGGTCGAACGTTTAATCACCGTATTGTTGAACGTAAGATGAATTTTTTGATAACGAAAACTATCAGCGAACCATATATTAGGGGAAAACCATAGTTTTGATGATCATTTCGAAATTGTACTCGTAGAAAATGAAGGAATGACTCCCAGCCATTAGAAATCACTAGAAAAGAACAAACACAAAAATTCTGACATTTTATAACGATCAACTAGACTTCAATAATTCGCTGCTGTTGAATTTGTTCTCTTAGTAGGTATTAATATGAATTTGCTATCAACCCTTTCACGATAATCCGGTATACCGTATTTTAATGTAGTTGTTGGGTCTAATTTTCGAAAATGAAGGTTTATCGAACCTTTCCACAAGTAATTCTAATCCTTCAGGTTGCGGAAGTGGGATATATATACAGTCTGTCCAAGATAAGGTTGCACAGCATGGGGATCTCGGAAACGGTAGGAGATACGAAGTCGGTTGAATGGGGAAAAAGTTGCGCATTCGGAGGCTCATACCAACAGCCTTCGAAAATTTTCAAAATTTTTTTTAGTTTTTCAGTTATTTCGAAAAAATTGAATTTTTGGAATCTCTATTACTTTTTTTTCTCCGTTATTATCAGAGATACAGGTAAACTGAAAATACTTTTACATAGCAACTTTTGATGACGTTTAACGTGGTGATACCGATTTTTCTATGCGACGTTTCGTATTCGTAGAACCATCATCAACTTTTGTATTTTAAATACGGCTCTGATAATTCTTTCACAGATTCTGAAAGCTTTTTTTATTCTGAATTCAACCATGTATTATACAAGGTGGTTTGAATGTGTTTCGAACTATTTTTAGCCATCATCAATGTTTTTTTCGAAATTCCAAAGGAAAAATGCCATCAGTTTCACTTATTTCTGATTATTTAGTGTCAAACATTGATGGACTAGTTATTCAATACTGAAAAGTGAAAAAAAAAATACACTAAATTATTCAATGCAGCGCTTCGAATTGTTTATGAATTGTATTCATATTTTAATCCGAAAGAGCTTGTCATAATTAAATTTTTCGAACTAATTATTCCTATAAGTCTATCAATCGGAACTAGTTGATGAGGTATTAGTTTGTTGGCTAATTTTCCTTCGAAAAAAAGTGGAACGGATGGCATTTTTCCTTTGGAATTTCAAAAAAAAACATTGATGATCGCTAAAAATAGTTCGAAACACATTCAAACCACCTTGTATAATACATGGTTGAATTCAGAATAAAAAAAGCTTTCAGAATCTGTGAAAGAATTATCAAGGCCGTATTTAAAAAACAAAAGTTGATGATGGTTCTACGAATACGAAACGTCACATAAAAAAATCGGTATCACCACGTTAAACGTCATCAAAAGTTGCTATGGAAAAGTATTTTCAGTTTTTCTGTATCTCTAATAATAACGGGGAAAAAAAATAAAATAGAGATTCCAAAAATTCACTTTTTTCGATATAACTGAAAAACTAGAAGAAATTTTGAAAATTTTCGAAGGCTGTTGGTATGAGCCTTCGAATGCGCAACTTTTTCCCCATTTAACCGACTGTGCAACCTTATCTTGGACAGACTGTATATAAGTTTAGGCAAGCCAAGATTAGTTTATTTCATTGTACCGCAGTATTTCACCTGATGAAGCTACTGTGTTCGTCAAACATGTAGTGTGATTGAGAATTTACAATAAATGCTATCTTTGAGAATGAGAATTTTATGTAAATCTTATCGTTTGTGTAGTTTTTTCACATTTAACATGGATTTCAAACAAACAAGTAACGGCCGAGACAATTCAAAAAATAAAATGAACTCGTCTAATTATATCACATAATATTTATTAGTCATTTTATCGATGAATCTAATGAGGTGTCTAATCATATTGTGTGCGCTATAATAATATGCTATAATAACAAATTAAACTGAACAATAAATTGTGAGACCAGATGATACCAGTATTTTCACAACAAGCTGGAATTTCATTTTTATATAATGCGATCAATAATTGCATCATGAGGTTGTGAAATTATGGCCTTCTAAATGTTTGTTTCGAAATTCAGATGCAGCAAATATCATCAATATCATTGAGTATTCATATACACAGGCTGTACCAAATCGATTTTTCCTCCTTTGGCCAGACAATCAATTTTCATTTGATCCACTGTCACAGTTGACTTCAGTTAGGTCCGTTTCGACCACGAAATTAAATGATATATTCAGTTTCAAGTTCCTAACATATTGACAGATATACCTGTAGATATCATATACAGGCTGATCCACGGTGGATAGCCTATTAGAAGTATCTGGAGAACGAGAAGACAGAACATTCTGAAAATTGGGATGCTACAATAATTGAACATTCTCTATCCGTCTAAAATATTTTCATCGATACAGTGTTGCCACTTCTATCAGAAACAACTAGCAACTTCGTTATTTTAAATAGAGCACCCTGTATTTTATTGAATTTTTTGAATTCTCCTTGAAAAGCTGATTTCATCAATGTATCACACTTTGGGTCTAGCAGGAATGATTACAGAGATATCGGGTGTTCAAAATCGAGATTTTTCAAATTCAGGATTTTTTTGTGTCGAAACTATTCATTATTGATCAAAACGGCTTACATGTCCCTATCTCAACTTTCGATTCACTATCTACTGACATTTAATTGGAACAGATACAGGGTGATTAGAATTCTGAATCTTGAAGCACCCTGTATTTTTTCCAATCAAATTCCAGTAGATAGTCAATCAGAAGTTAAGATAGGGACATGTGAGCCGTTTTGATCGATAATGAATAGTTTCGACACAAAAAAATCTTAAAATTGAAAAAATCTCGATTTTGAACACCCTATATCTCTGTAATCATTCCTGCTAGACCCCAAGTGTGATACATTGATGAAATCAGCTCTTTGAAAAGAATCTACAAATGCAATAAAATACAGGGTGTTCCATTTGGAATAACAAAGTTGCTAGTTATTTCTGATAGAAGTGGCAACACTGTATCGATGAAAATATTTCAGATGAGTAGAGAATGTTCAATTATCGAAGAATCGCAATTTTCAGAATGTTCTGTCTTTTCGTTCTCCAGATACTTCTAATAGGCCATCCACCGTGGATCACCCTGTATAGGCCCAAGGCGGACAACCCATTTGAAAAAACTTTGTAAATCAGTGCTCAGTGTCGAATGCTCACATTTTTCCAAAGGCGAATCCAACACTCTCATTTTCCTCAGCTTGTTCGGAATCCAGGATTTCCATCATAATGTCATAAAGTTTCTGTTCGAAATCTTTCCCAAGCTCTTTTCTCGAAGAAATATGGAATGTTCGGGGATGTTGAGTGGAACGCACAAGATCTGTCAGATTCATATCCACCAGTTTTTCCCAGACGATGTTGCCTTCTTGACCATGGCACCACATGGCACCCATATCCACATTAGTGTCACCGAATTTGGTGGAGTAGATTCTACCTAGTGATGGAATGGAATATCAGTGAAATCATTGGAATAACTTTAGAGGTCTAGACGTCTACATGGCACTATAGTAAACACGGTATTTCGAACTGCAAACCTAGTGAACAACATAATTTTCGGGGGTTAATACATAAGATAGATAGATAGATAGATAGATAATTTATTCATTTCTACAGAGTTGTGTTACGCGTCTGAGAAGTAAGTCACATACATACAGTTTAAAATCTAGTATAAACATTTCATAAAAAAAATAAGCATAGAAATAAAACATTACCACAAATTAAAAATAATCACTGACTGAGTGTGGCTCCATACTGAGTAAGTAATTCCGTACCGAGCCAAGGAATCTTTTGTAATTTTGAATAGCTTTTATCTCATCCGGAAGATTATTATAAAATTTTATTGCATTGTACAGTGGACTTGTTCCGAAAATACACTTTTTGTGGATTGGGTAACTATAGTTGTTTTTTAGTCTCGTGTTATGTTCATGATTCATTTTGTGACTGCTGAAGTGATTTTCATGTGTGGTCTGGAATTTGATAGCCTCATAAATAAACAAGGCTGGTACAGTTAACATGTTGTTTTTTTTAAATATTTCCCGGCATGAGCCATCTATCTTCAAATCGAAAATTATCCTCACTACCTTTTTCTGGCATATAAAAACTTTATCCAAGTCCGCGCAACCTCCCCATGTCCCAATCCCAAATTTCATTCTTGAATAGAAATTTGCATAATAAACTGTGATCAGAGTGCTTTGGTCAACATTGTGTTTCAGCACTCTTATAGCATATGTAATTGAAGACAGTTTATTACACAAATTTTCTACCTGAGATTCCATGTCATTTTGTCGTTTATATAGACCCCTAAAAATTTGACAGTGTTGTTACACATGATATTTTGATTGTCAATGTTGATAGATTGTGGCTTTTCAATAATATTGTTGATTCTCAGCAACATACAATCCGTTTTTTCATTGTTGATCATCAACTTATTTTCATTGAAATAATCTTATTATAATAGATATTATTTTTCTGGAAGCGTCATAGAAAGTGGCTTTTTTCTGACCCTTATCAGGCAGGAAAGATGTACTTTCTCTGCCTTGGCAGAAAAAGTTTGTTTCTATGCAAAGTAATTTGAATAAAAGTGTTAATCAAAATTGACACAGACATTGATGAAGTTTTTGATGAAAAACTACACAAAATAGGTTTTTATAAGAATTGGAGACAAATTTATATAATCCACACGGCAGCAAATGTAGATTGACAGCCGCGGCAATCTACTACTCTGCTGCCTAGTAAAACAAATAGCTTTTTGCTTCAAACGGCATAGTAAGCGGCAAAGGTGTACTTTGTCAAGGCAGAAACAGTTCGTTTCTATGCAACGTTCCAAGCAATATGAAAGAAATTGGGGTAATCAAAATCTACACTGACATTGGGTGAACAAAAAATGATGGAGTTTTCATTGAAAAATAACACAAAATTGGTTTTATAACATTTGGAGAAGAATTATTTCTTTCACAAAGGTAGGAAAAAACGCTCGAACGAGCTCTCGCAAGTTTTCACTCCTTTGATACTCGATTGTTAGCGATAAAAATAAAACTTTCATATAATAATTAAACATGTATTTATCGATAAAAACATCATCTCTTATGTATTTATTTATACCCAATAAATCAACTCCTTCACAGAAAACGCCATTTGAGGATGACGTGAATCATTTTGACTTCTAGATCTCATGACTAAGAGATCCAGGATGAACAGAGTTGCCTCAATTGTCAGCAGGAGCAAGACAGTACTGTTGCGGCCCACCAGGTCTCATCAGCCGCTCTGTAGCGTATAGACGTAAGGGTCTGTACGTGTGACTATAGATGGCAGCGCCATACAGTGTCTGTCGCGATCTCTTGATCCTACCTTAGAGCTTTGCCACTAGATAGCTACAACATGACTAGAACTTCATGTTATACTCTGCATTTGACTTCGATAAAAAAGGATTAAAAATGCTTGTTCCTCAAAACCATCATACTTCATCTAGTATGCGCCTGTCACTTCAATTTCTGTCGTGTCAAGTTTGATTGTCAATCAATCAATTCCGCAAACTATACAAGAAACACGGAATTAGCAATACAATAAGGTACCTAATTATTATTGTCGTTGATTCATCTTGTCGAAAAACACTCGAACTTTTTTTCTACGGTGTTTTAATGAGGTCAAAGAATTAGTGAGTGTGGCATCACCCATGTACCAGGCAAATTTCTCATCAGCGTATGTTCGGGTGCTGAACCCCATATGTGAGAACAGTATGCTAAAATAGGCCGTACATCATGAGAAGCTGTTGAGTTGTAAAGTAGATTTTCGCACGGAATAAAAATCCGAGTTTCTGTGAAGTAGCTTCTGCAATGTATCGGGCATGATTTTTCCATGAAAAAGTATTGCTGATGAAAATACCATGCAAGCATAGATATACCTAGTGGTATTGATGGGAATGGTGGTACTAGCAATAGTTATATATCAGGCCTCAGTATGAATTTATAGAGGAAATACTGGCTTGAGTTTTGGTGGCGTTGAATTTAACAAGGTTGTTGGTTCCTCAGGCTGTGATTTCAGCGAGATTGACATTGACAGCGTTGACCTACCTTCGTCGTAAGTTGTTGGTTTCTTGGAAAGAAATTAGATTTCTAGAGAAGAACGCAGTATGGAGAGTTTTATATTCTGCAAAGCTGTTGATATAGGGCTATGAAAAACATATATAGAGTATATGTGAGACAACGAAAATATGTATGGATGTCAGAGATGGAGAAACATTTCTATCAGTTGTTTCTTATTAACAACCCCCAGAATAAGCTAATCATCCCATTTTTTTGCCGTTACTACTCCACTGATATGCCAGTATTCTAGCATCTCTTTGCTATGTTATCTTCATCCGTTGCATAGTTCAAAGTTCAACTTGACTTATTATTGTCTCCTGTCTGTAATTATTCTGCTTCTTGTTTCGTGAAATCCAAACTGTACTTTAAGTATCACCTAACTGACTCTAAATGCATTACTTTTTCACTCTACACCTTCCATTCATTTTGGAATGCACATTTTACTTGTTATTTGAGAAATCGAGAAGAGTATATGAAGCCCTGAATTTTGTGAATCTGATCTTTGAAAATAATTGAAAATGTATTGAAATCACTAATCCTACCTCCAATTCTTGGTTCAGCTTCGAGAATCAGGATGTTATCGATGCCATTTTCCAGAAGTCTTGTAGCTGCAGCGATACCAGCAGGTCCAGCACCAATGATTATTATTGGTTTTTCATTGGGAATGCCACTAATTTCATGGAAAAACAACGGAAACAAGAGACTAACGTATCTCAGATACATGATTCTATTCGACAAATTATAATTATTGACTGACTTCATCTAAATGGTTTCTGTTCCTTCAAATTGTATGATTTCGGTATTTACAGGGTGGATCTAGTATATTTTAAATTGATAGTAATACCGAACCGAGCAAGTCAATCTAGTCAGAACGTATTGAAGTGTTAGTTCAATAAATATACTAGTATGAAAAAATAAAAAACGCGTTTTTATGGATAATAAAACTGAAGGGAAGTTGAAAATAAAATAAGGAGAGCATGTTGATAAATCCACAACATAGAAAATATTGGAACCTAATGAGTATTTTTTTATGTTGCTGAATACACAACATTAAAAATATTAAAACCTTCGTAATGAGTATATTTATTTAAGAATACTTTCATAATATTTTCTATGTTATCCAAGGAAGCCTGTTTTTGAGGTTCTTCAAACTACAAAAATTAATTGTTCAATGAACTTGTTCTTTAAAATTTTTATTTTGTGAGTATCGCCTCGAAGTGAAAGTGATTTAACGATTTCCTACGAGTACTTGGTGCAAGACACTGCCTTGTGTCTGGATGTAAAATAAATTGTAGTTTAGAAAAACTAAAATAACACGCTTTTATAGATTGCATATTGATAAATACATAACCTAGAAAATACAGAGGTGCTAACATTTTCTATGTAGTAAATATTTATCAACACGCTTTTATTATTTTAGTTTCTACTGTCTCCTTTTCAAAATAGCTATATATAAAAGTGTTTTATATTTTTTTAAACTACTATTTATTTTCTATATTGCTCAACATAATGTTTCATTCAGCAATGGGGTAATGGTGGCCTGTCTGCATTTCCTCGACATGACCGGTCACCATAACCCCAATAAACATTTTCTCCAAAAGACATTAATAAAAAGAAACTTATTCAACTAGGAAAGAGCCAAATACTCAAAGTGGAATGCAATGGTCACAAAGGATGAGAAACTCAAGATCATTACCGCCAGGTGGCGTTCAGCGTTCGCGTACATTTCGCGGACGTTGAACGCCTAGTGGGGTATAAATGCTGAGAGCTGAGATGCGTTTACCTAAGGTCAGGTTCGCACCAGATAGCGGTCAAGAATGCTATCTGGGACCGCTCTGCACTGATGAGAGCCAACATCTCTAAACCAGTCTGCAGGTAGTCACGGGTTCCTGAACATCTCATGCGCAGCTCGGCGTTTATAAAGGAAACACTAGCAATTTTATTCTTCATTACGAATTATTGCGTTGATTCAGCCAGGAAAGTTGTTGTTTTTCTCTCGTTATCTACCATTTTCGTTAATTTCATGAACTTCTGCTGTAATGACTTTGAGTGTCTGGTTTCTTTGTGAAAAAACTCATCGTTACTAGATGTACTTATTGTTTATATAGTTCAAGTATAAGGTTCAAAACAGAAATTTTTTAGTCTGTTCCTCAAAATGCTCGTTTTCAGCAACAATATCTCACTTGTTAAATATAGACATTTGTTACAACTGACGACTGTGGAGCAAATGAAATGAATTAGTGAAAACAGTTTTACTTGTATTCCGTTAATTTCTTCTCAACTAGTTGGAATACTTATTTGTAGACGGAAAAACCAATACTTTCGGCTCAACTAACAAAGACAGGCGAACTATTCCCCCGGCTCTCCCTAGATATAAAGTACCAATGTGCAAGAAATCAAATTGGTATGAACGAGTTCTCACTTTTATCATTGAGTATTCAAGGCTTTTATATACTCAGAGTTTTGGATTTGACGGACTGCACCCTTTAATTTCATTGATTTGAATGACTTATTCATTTCCGTTTCAGTTTTATGGTAGACATATTATATTCTTTCCTCTGCCAAATCAATTCGTTAATATTCAATGTGTTACCAATGAAAAAGCATAACTGGGCACGTGTCATCTAATATATTATAGTTTGGGATATAATATATTAATCGAATACTGATTTTTGAGAGCTCCTCATTGAATAGTTTCAAAAAATGATTATAAACGACGATATTTCAGGAAAATAATATTTATAACTACTCATCGCCTAAGCAAATGTATCTGCTGATGTATATTTCTGTTAGATTATTCAGCGAGGTGAAGAATTACTAGGTATTATTGAAATATCTTCTGGTTTTCTGATTATCCATCTCTACGAATTTGATTATGGCTCCTTACAATATGAGTTCATCATATCACACCCTGTTGTTATATGAAAATTCGTGATGTTATCAGCATTGGCTTGACCTGCTGTATCTATAACAGCTTTTTCTGTTATCAAAATAAATATGATGCCAAGAAGAGCTAATACTACCTTCCTCTTATTCAGTCTTATTCATACATTCAATAACACTAATAAAAATAATAAGATATAATAATTAGCAGAGCTACGATAAATAGATTTGCTCAAAAGTTATCATCAGAAGCGACACAAATGGTCGTATCAGACACCGATTCTCTGCAAGAAGTCGAGTATTTTTCCATCTTACTGAAAGAAAGCTAGAGTCCAATAGTCCAATCAATCCCCAAGAAAAGCCTGCTCAACAAATATATAGGCCAATTGCCCTGTTATCAGTCATCTGAGTGATGGAGAAGCTATCAACATTGAGCTCATCAAATATCTGGAAAGCTCAGGAATCATTGAAGATAGACATTATGGCTTTCATCACCGAAGATCAACTGGAGATTTACGTCAACAATATATGGCAAGTTTCATTAGAAAACATGGGGAATCTCTAGTTGATGTGGCATTGGATATATGTATATCGAAGGCATTCGACCGAGTTTGGCACCAAGAATTCCTCCACAAACTACAATCATACGGCTAACGACCTCAGCTATGCCATCTTTAATAGAGTCTTCATTCGGGCAGATTGCTCCATGTGGTAGTGGACGGAGTATCGTCTGATGTCATTGCCATCAATTCTGGCGTTCCACAAGGATCAATTTCGGCATCAACATCATTCCTACTTATCAATGATCTGTGGGCTCAACTACTTGCCCTATATCCACAGCTTTACAGACGATAGTACTCTCCATACAATACAATACTCTTTCATGAGAAAATCATGTTCGATCCATCGCAAAATCTGCTTCATAAAAACTTGGAGCTAAATTCCCTGCAAAAATCAACACTTTACACCTCAACAGTTCCTCATATGATCTACAAAGCACAGATATGGCCAGTTTTAGAATACTGTTCTCACATATGGGGTGCAGCACCCAAACATATACGCTGCTGCTCATTCCATTTAGAGAAAATCCATTCACCTGGGTGATTCCACACTCACTGATACTTTGACTTCAATAGAACACCGTAGAAATGTCGGCAACCTTTCACTTTTATATAGATACTTCCACGGGAAATGTTCTTCGGAAATCTCTGCTATCATTCAATCACTAGCAATATCACTCAGACGAACTCGTCAGTCCCAGTCAGAGCATCATTTCGTTGTCAACCTTGAAATATGTCGAACAACACTTTACCAAAACTTGTTCGTCTATAGCACGGCAAAGCTTTGGAATGCTTTGCCGATGGAAGTATTCCCAAGAAGTTAAAAAAAATTCAACACCCACCTCCTGTCCCTATCCTCCCTAGGTACGCACAATGTTCTTCAAACATCGTAGGAATTTTCTTTCGTGTGCTCCAAGAGATGAAAAAAGTTGCTGTCAGTCCGGATACAATTGGGATAATATAATAATAATAGATACTATCTACACCAGCTTCCAGCGGAGTACAACTAGAATACTAGTGGGACTTCTCACAGGGCATTGTAGGCTCAACAAACACATGAGTACGATAGGTCTGACTGAAGAACTGCTATGCAGGTTCTGTCAGGAAGAGGAGGAAACAGCAGTACACATACTTTGCCACTGTGGGGGCTTGTCAAGACTTAGGTTCCTTACGCTGGGTGAGGAAAAACCAAGAGCCCAAAGTTACACAGGGGATCTGAAAGCTAGCCTGTGGAGTGTTATAGAGAAGGCGGGGCTAGCCAAAGAACTCTAAACGATTTTGAGGGCAGACACAATAGATCTAAAGAGGTCGCGGTGTGGAGACTAATTTACTCCAGCTCTCCGCTCTGATCCCGCTGATGGGTGGTATGAATAAAAATGAAGTACCTGCTAATTCTAGAAGTATAAGCATTTTGTACATAGTAAATACTTCAAAACTGAGTAGGTAAAACATTTCGAAGTAGATTCTTGTATTTTTTCCGGAAGCAACTATACAAGTAGCACTATCGTGGAAATGACAATAGGTACAGTAGATACTTCGATACAAGAAGAAATTGTAGTATTAGCTTGACCTTGGCGAAGTTGGTCTAATATCAGATTCACTGGGCATTCAGCGGTTAGTTTTGTTGAAAAAATGGATGAAATAAAAGAAAATTATACACTGCAAGACGACACGTCAATGATGATATTTTCTATAATCAAATATTCGGTTAACTGTATCGAAATGAAGTATAACGTTTGTGGATTATGATATAATTCCGTTTCTTTTGGTTCAATAGGGAAAACGAATCTTACCTAGCTGATACATTCCTATTAAGCAAACAGGAGTGTTTAAGAGGAGCTAAGGTATGCTTGAATAAAAATTGAATTGAATTGAAAAAATTAAGCACAAAATCTAAAATGGAGAGGAAGTATAGCTGTGCGCACGTTGATGTTGATAATAATGTTAATCGAAGAAAATAAGAGGGGCGAATTCCGAGCAAACAGTTTTATTTTGATGGGTAGCATTTTGAATTTCATGTCAATTTTTTATTTAGGCCGAGAAGATGGAAAACAAATGTGCCAAACTGACGACGGCTTAGGCTCAAAGCCTTCTGCTACACGTATGTTGAAGCTCATACTACGGACTAAATGTAAATACTATAAACAATGTAGTAAAATACTATAGACGTTGTGCAAATACTACCGGAAGGTGAGGAAAAACCAGGAGCCCAGAGATACACAGGAGATCTGAAAGCTAGCCTATGGAGTCTCATAGAGAAGACGGGGCTAGCCGAAGAAATCCAAATCTAATCTAAATACTACCGGAAAAG